TTACCCCCATGTGTTTTTTTTAACCACACAGTGTGCTGATCAACAACTGAAACGTGTTTGCTATCCACTAAAACAGACTAGGAGTGAAATGAGTTAAGTCCACATACGCTTTAGATGGGTGGGCGCAAGATAAACAGCAACTACAGCAACGTTTTGATCAAATTAAAAACCTTCAAACTATCTTCTGTTATTAAAAGCAGGGATAGGTTATGAACCCTTACAATCAGTAAATGATGTGTCAGAGGCAGAGATCATCGTAGTGGGCTGAGTGTCTGTGCTATCAGGACCTCTAACCATTGGAACTACAAGAGATTCTAGAGAAAGTATTACAAACCAGGTTAAGTTGTCACTGCTGGGGAGAAATTCTACCTGGTTTACTCTCTTAATATAGCGTTTTAGAGCGTGCAGAATTTTAGCAAATTGACATCAATTTGGCTTTCTTGGAGCTCGTAAAAGAAACCAGCAGAACAACAATGGAATGTTGACATGCAAGGATTATTATTATTATTATTAACTATCAAGCTAAAGTAATGGATCCACAGCAGGTGGGTTTTGCTCTCGTCTGTTCAATTCTGACTCGTGACTGTTGTTTAGTAAGGCTCAGGAAGTTGCAGCAAGACCTTTTACTCCATAACTGCAGGGGAAGTTGTGCAAAAATTGACAATTAGGAAAGGCTCCTCTCTCTCCCCCCAACCCCCAATCTCCCATATGTTTCCGCAGCCTAACAACACTTATACAGCAAGTGTGCTATTGGCATTTAACCGTCACTCCTTATCAAGACCCGACTGTTCCACCAACGGATTTCTCAGAACCATTAATTTTGTTGAGTAGTTACAGAAATGACCCCAGATTACACCAGCGACTTGAAGCAGGAATTTGGAGTGGGTTGCAATGTGCCAACGGTCAACCCTCGTTATAAATCTCTGCCATTTGAACTTGGTCCCGGTTGTTTTCTTGTTGGGGTTTTATACCAAACCGACCTGTCTGCTCCCTCCGCTCCAGTCTGGTCCAAGTCCCCCGCCCTGCCATCCCAGTTGAACCTTCAGTCTCTCTGCCCTGGACCTTTGGAACTCCATCCCACAGTCTCTTTCGCCTCGCCCCCTCCGTCACCTCCTTCAAGGCTCGTCTGAAGACCCTCCTCTTCGACCGTGTCTTTGGCAACCTTCTTAACCCACCTTCCCTGCCCTCCAGTCCTCCTGATCCCAACAAAATGGTTGTTTGCAAGACTTTTTTTAAGGGAAGGGGAGTGGGTATATAACAAAAATGACTCTTTACAAAATTGCTAAGTAGACCATGTTGTCCTTACATCACATGCAGTAAGGATTGCACCAAACCCAACTGAATTCAGCCTAAAATGATCAATGACCGAAACCTTTGGCATGAAGCTGGGTGTATAGAATAGGTCCCTAATTGGAGTCCTGTAGCTCAGTGGTTAGAGCACTCGCCTTGCAAACGAGACACCTGGGTTCGATTCCAGGCAGGGAGAAACCTTGGGCAAGTTTCCTTACTCCACACACCTAATAATAATCCCTCCAAAACCAAAAAAATAAAAAAATTGGTCATTTTCAATCCTCGACTGTTTGTGGGACATTGCTGTGCGCAATTGGCTACTGCATTTTGCCCACAAATATACAGTCAATTCACTTTACAGTATATTCTGTGAAGCGCTTTGAGACATTGAGAAGACGTGAAAAGTACTATATCAAATGCAAGGATTATTATTATTATTATTCTCTTCTCCATTTCTTGGCTGAAGTCGCTGTTTCCCATCTGTACAGCTACTTATACATGGCCTTAGTCCTCGCTTTAAACCAGAAATGAAGCCAGCTGTGGAAGCAAGGTATTATTTTGGACCAATTAAAAACCGAGCGAGATTGGCTCTGCAGAGATTGCAGTGTGAAAACGCCACATAATGATTTCCTACTGGACGTATCAGAGAGAGAGAGAGGAAGGACTGGCTTGAATCTGTCACATCTGGGGTTGTGGGGCTGGGTGTGATGTGGACTGGAGATTAATCACACTGTCTGTCATTACACCGCAGTTTGGGCTCAGCATGGCAGCTCTCTCGCCTCTGGGGCAGGAGGTTGTGGGTTCAAGACCCGCGTTGGGTCTGGAGTTCACAGTCGGGGCCAGTGTTTCCCACAGCACCAGTCTGAGGACCTGTCTGTGACGAGCCTCATGGCTGGTCAATTACCAGAGATCGTTTGGGATTGAGCGACCTGGCGGCTCATTAACGTCCACCATATTTTAACAAACCAAGCTGATCCCTGGCATCAAAAAAGTTGAGGAACACTGGCCTTAGCTGACAGACCAGCGCAGTGTAGTGAGGGGCAGGGGCAGGAGCGTATTGTCAGAGGGGCCATTAAAACCAGGCCCCTACATTATAATGCCTCGGCAGCAATTACTGTCGACCACGGTGACTGTTAATTTGCAGACAAATACCATGCGCCGTCGGAAAACTGCTGGGTCTCGCAGGTGGTGCCAGCGGGCATTGTAACCGTGGCTGGCTGCTGAGATATACAGTTAATACTACAACACTGTATCTCGCCCACAAAATACACAGTCAATTAACTTTAGAGTATATCCTCTGAGGCGCTTTGAGACGTCTCGAAGACGTGATAAGGCGCTATATCAAATGCAAGGATTATTATTGTTATTGCAGCAGCGACTGCAATTATAAATCAGTGGATTAAATAAAATTGGAGGGCAATAGGGCCTCAGGAACTCTCAAGGGAGCTGATGGGGGTTTGGGGGAGGTGAAGTAAGACAGGAAGGCAGTTATGGCTGTTATCTTGGCACAAGTTTGTTCACAAGGAAGTCTGGATATTCTGGGCAGTTACAGTTAATTCCTGAGTCCACATTAAAAGATACAAAATCGCAGACAGGCAGAGAGCATGTGATTTGGTTAATGGTTGCAATGCACACGGCTCTATAAGGAACTGCGACATGTGTACAGCATAAAAACAGAAGTCGCTGGGAACACTCAGCAGGTCAGGCAGTATCTATGGAGAGAGGGAAGTGAGTTAACATTTCAGGTCATCAACTCCCTCTAGGCACCTCCTACATATCCTAGCATAAAATAAAGTTCACCTACAAAATACACTCACTTTACAGTAAATCCTGCGATGTGTATTAGGCCGCCGTGCTGACGTGAAAGGCGCTATATGAAATGCAAAGCTCATAATAAAAGCCATTTGTATGGATGTCCAGAATTGCTCATGGTCTCAGGCTTAAGACCGTGGTCTTAAAATGCAAATCAGACTGTGAGGAACTTTGCAACAATGGTCAACAATAGTCTTTATTTTTTTGAGAACAGTTTTCTGCAGGTCTCCAAACCAAGAGGGTTTACATTTACGAATTTCCCAACTATTCTGTGTCCTTTCATCGACAAAGGAGGCGTTATGCAAATGTAAATGTAAATTGTATCTTGAACTTTAAGGCAATGGTTAAGGTTTAAGGCTAAGACCGCTAGAAATCTGGTGAAACGCTCATTGCACTTTGTGCAACAAGAACCAAGAGGGCACAGTATAAGCAGACATAATGGCTCAGTGTTTAACTCCTGATAACTGGATCTAATTACATAATGTCCTGTCCGACAACTCTATTTATTGCACAGCTAATTGATAAGGATCTCAGTTGCAACAACTATTCCGCTTGTGTGGAGCTGTTCAGAAAGACCGTGGTGTTGACACCTGATCATTGGTGTCATCTTAACGTTAACCTATGCAAACATTTCCTTTTCACATCAAAGACTATAAGTGGGATTCAAAAAACATGGACCGACCAAGTCACCTGTAGTGCTGTTGATGCTTTAGTTGAGAGACGTTACTAGGTTTTGGTAAAAAATAACCATTTGATATAGCGTCTTTCACATCTCGAGTGGATTTCTCAAAGCACTTCACACTTATGCGCTGTAAGGTTTAATGACTGTACATTGTAGGCGAATGTGGCAGTCAGTTTGTGGACAGCAACGTTCCACAGGCAGCCATAAAGTGAATGTGCCAATGTGCTTTAAGTGCACACATGATAATGTGTGAAAGGAGTTAGTTGTGCAAAGGCAAGTTGTTCTCTCTCGGCTGCAGTCAGCAGCCTTGCCCTGATGCTGTACTCAGACACACACTGCTGTTTGCTGCTAGTTTCCCATTCCCCTGTTTTGCCCCTCACAACCTTCAGTTAAACACACAACTTTATTCTGTTATTTCTGTTGTTTATATTTTGTATGGCAGTTCTGTCTATGCAGAAAATATTTTACAACCTATTATTTATGCGTTTAAAAGAGAATTGAAAACAAACTGTTCCAGGCTTCTCTCTAAATTTGCTCATTTACATTGGTCACATCAGTGCTTTGGGACGTCCTCCTTACGTGAAAGGAGCTACACAAATGTCATCTGTTGTTGTTGTTACACTGGGGATTGCAATGATGGGAACTGACGTCCATCTGCTGTGCATTGTAACCATATTGTTTCCCTGAACCAAAGCCCTGGCATTGGCCAGAGATACATTACAGTGTGACGTAGAGGATACTGCAGTGTAAGCATTGCAATGGGGGCTCCCCTTTTTATTAATAAAATAATGCCAATCTCATTCCAATTCATTGCTTAGAAAATGGTTTTGAAAAGGAATTGGGACTTGGCGGGACCCTGCTGATGACAGACCAGCTCAGTCCAGCCTGGGGCTGGGCTCATCATCAGTAGGACTTGGAAGGGTAGACCGACCCCTGGGGGAGGGGATTCTTCTCACTCAGCATCTGTTAACCCCGCAAGTCAAAGCCCTAATGGGGAGGGTGGTCCTCACTGGGCAAGCAGTGTCCGGGGAAGCTTACCAGGCGGTGCTTTCGATAGCAAACAATGAGTGTTTAGCTGGGGGTGATTCTGCTTGTTCAAGTTAGCTTTGGTTTGAGTGGGGCTTTGGGTTGTTCACTTGGTGCTGGTGTAGGTAATGATGTGGCGGAGGGAGCCTGACAATGTCTCTCTTTCTTCTCCTCTCCTTATATCAGGTGATACTTACCCCAATGGCTCAACTCCCTTCCTTGGGGGTTTTGTCGCCAGTGGCCTCGGGACCTCGTCTGCTCCTCATGGAACCCCCGCTCCTTTGCCCTCAGATCCATCCTTCCGCGGACCCAACCCTACGAATATCCAGATGGCACAGCTCTGGGCTGCTCACCATGAAGGTAAAAAGAAAAATTCTCAACCACTTTTCGTGTTGTGCTTTTTGTTGTGCTGGTGATTCACATGAAACAGAAAGTTAGGAGCTTGTTGGTAAGTGAGTTGCAGAGTTCTGTTTTACAATTTCAACTTGTGGTGAAATGCCCCATCACATCTTATCACTTTTTCAAGGGACCTTGAAGTTATCGAAGTTCCTCTCCCACTCAACACAGCTGGAATGCTCTATCACACAACAGGGGAATCACTGGTTACAACATTGTTAGCTTAGCAGCACACAATGGCTCACTGTTACACCATCCCCTTGACAAATGGTGGATGACGTCATTGGCTGTGCAATCACACAGCAACCCCCCACTGTCCCCCCCCACCCCCAAACACACACAGTATCAATAGGGACGGCAGAATCCTATGCTCGTTTTCTCTCTCTGGTTTAATAACTCCAGCCATTTATGTAGCAATCGGGTTCTTTCCACTACTTCTTGAATGACTCCCATTGTTGTCTCTCCACAACCCCTCCCTCCCTCCCACAGACACTTTTTTGTGTAGGAATTGACGTAGGCACCAAATGTGGATTGGGAAACAAACAAACTCCAGCGTGGGGAGGAGGGGGAAATAACCGGAACACTGTTTCACATCCCCCACCCTGCCCGTCCCACCATCAACGGTCAGCCTTTCTGCCCCCACGCTCCATCCCAGAATCCCTCCTTCCATCTCCTTCAAGGCCCTTCACAGCGCCTTTCCCATAATGGTTGTTTCTGTTCTGTGGAATCATGGAAGATTGTTAAATTGTTAAATTCAGTGTGGATTTGGGCAGAGGTTGTGTTTTCCAAAGGGAAGGATGTGACTCACAGGAGACGATTGGCCTCAGAATGAAGTCACAGTTTGCACCTGCCTCAACCCATTCTTCATTAGCAGATCTTTGGAACATTCCGCTTGTATGTAGCACATTAATAAATCGCCGCAGCATAAACTCCGCAGGTGCCAAGTTGGCCGAGTGCGGTTACCTTTGTGTGTGGTTGAGCTTATTCCTTAGCTGTTTCAGGAATTAATCCCAGCTGATCTAATGTGACAACAATCCTCTTCTTTATGACTTGTTGGGTTTTTAAGACGAGGACTGGATTTCCCTTTTGAACGTGTAGACCTTGTGCCTGGAAACTGAAAATCTGGAAAGCTCAGGTGTTTTCTTAGAGCTTGGCAACACATGTGCGCTCCAACTTCAAAATTCCACCTTGTCCACCTTGCCTGTGAGGGCAGTTTCCATTCACATTTCAGATCGCTTCGAACTGGGTAAAATTCTACAATTCTTCACGTGAGTGATTTTTGAGACGTCCTCCTGACCTGAAAGGCGCTGTATAGAGGTATATTGCATTGCGTAATTCAGCCTTAAAAGGAAGATTTGTTGCCATATCCTCAGACTAAGATTGGCCTTTCTTTTCCTGCTATTGTTCAGCGTGCGTTGTCTCTTGTGTTGGCATCTAGAATAAATTATGGGTGCGGTACGCAAACAGTGGATCAATGGAAATCCAGGACAAGCACTTCATAAATATGACTCATGCAGTTATTGTAATAAATCTGTTCTCCGTTCAAATACAATAAACCCGTCAGTCAGAACGAAATGTGATCCGTTTTTGTGGACCCATGTGAATGGAGGGATCCATATTGAGCGCAGAATCCAGCTAAGCTGTTGCCCACAGCTCTCACTCTCTGCCTCTCTTATAGGTCTCGGCTTGTGCTGAGTTCCAGTTCCATCAATACCATTTGGCACTGCCTCGCCCAAAGTGGCCGCCACCCATGTTTGATTCTTTGCAAACCGTTTGACCACGAGGATGTGGAGTGGGATGATGATAATCCCTACGCTTTGATATAGCACCTTATCACATCTTCGAGACGTCTCAAAGCGCTTCACAGAATACACTGTAATGGATGAAATCCCCTCCCCCTTTTGTGGGGCAGGGAAACAGCCCAAGCCTGATCCTGTCCTGACCCACTCATTATTATTAAGGAATTCATAAATTATTAATAAATTAAGTTGAGGAGGAGCGGGAGAAATTCCACGTGCGTCCATAATCAGAACCTTTTCTTCTTAGAATTTTAGAACATGCACACGTTGGACATTCCTTAAACTCAGCCTTCATTTTGAAGCCGGTAATTGGAAGTGGAATTCTCTCTATCTCGTGCTGAAAACTGCACATAATACTCCCAACTGTGGCCCAGCTAAAGTCTTACGCACATGCAACATTACCTCATTGCTTTAGCATTCCATGACTCAGAACCGTTAAAGCTATCAGGGGAATCTGACTAATATTATATTAAAGGAGTCAAACAGAAATTCGAGTCGCTGCATATTGATTTTCTTCCACTGCCAACAGATACATGTAATGTTCTGGGTAAACAGATTAATTTGTAGTACATTACTGTTAATAACTATTTTTAAAGGCTATAGTTATTGATTTGATATTAGCGGGTGGCTGCTTAATTCTAGTGCGTGTCTTATTTAATCAGAATTCTGATTTTGAAGACAAGTAAGGCAAACAATTGAATTTCGGGAGAGGCACCAGGAAGTATTTCTTTGTGTGGGGGGGGCAATTAACGCTGAGGCCAGGGAACTGGATTCTCTAAGAAATGGCTTGATTTTGTAATGGTGGGTATGCGTGTGGGGAGAATGAGGGGGAGAAGGGTTCTGGAAGGAGGAGATCAAATAAATCAAAAGAATTTCTTCATCCAAACCTCCTCTTTGTAAGCTTGCGATCTCTTCTCAGATGGTTTACAACTGACTTTGCATTTTTGTTAGATATTGTGGATTGGCTGACAACTCACACAACATCACCAAATGTTGTTCAGTCAGTCTTGCACTGTTTCTTTGGCAGTTGGTGAACAATCCTGAGCAGAGAGAGGATTGATCACTGGGAGAAGTGTCCGAGGAAAGCGCTAATGTTGTCAGGAACGATGCCGCTTGAGACCAACCCGTGATGTGTTTCTGTAAAGATCTCCAGCTCTCTATCGCGGATTAAACTTTGCCAACGTGCAGGGCAAAACGCCTTTGGTTGTGATCACGAGCATTTTGAACTCAAATGGGTTAATTGATTGAAATACATCGAAAGTCTCTGCATTAATGTTTCATTGCCAACATAGGGTAAAGCCCTGGTAATGTGACAATGAGTCATTGGGAGCTTTGGAAGTAACAATGTGGGGAGTATAAATACCTTTTATGTGCTTTGTGTTCAATAGACGGTGGTTTTAGATTTCCTGCCCAAGAGAGAGGCTTGATATGTTGTTCTGTTTAATTTCCTTTCTCCTGGAAGAAAGCGTACAGACCGGGGAGGGGGTGGGGTAGGGGGTGTTGTGGATGGGGGGAGCACAACAAATCAATGGGAGGAATATCGTGTGGAGCAGAGAGTGAGGAAGAGAGAGAGAGTGAGACCGAATATGGTCTCTGGTTCGTCCCAATATACGTTTCATTTCTCTTTTTATTCACGTGGCTTTGGCTGCTGAAGCCACCGAGGAGCCTGGGGTTAAGGACCTTTGTGGCATGTTGAGGGCAACACAGCTCACCCGAAAGCAACTTGTCTCTTTGAGGAAGTAAATGGTGACGATGTCCTGTGGCCACTGTAACTGCTTCACCACTCGCTCATCTGTGATGTCCTGCCTGATTGACACACAGACTGACTGACACACACACTGACTCAACCGGACACACACTCAGCAATAGAAAGGCAGTCAGTCTTTCATGTAAACCCCAGCATTGCTGCCCTTTAAATGCCCCAGTCAAGTGCAAAATGGAATGCGCGTAAGTGGGGGCCGGTTTCTGCATCGCTCCAACACCCGCCCCCACCCACACACACACACAGTGCAATAGGAAATGCCCTACCTCTCCAGCACTGCCCCCCCCCCTCCACACACACACATTGAAAAAACTACCGGCACTTTCTGCATTATTTGAAAAGAAAAAGGATTTTTTCCTGATGACCTGGCCGATAACCAGCCCCCACCCCACCCCACACACAGGCAGACAGATACGGAGGATGAGGGAACTGTTCCATGTTTTTTTAATATTCCATGGAGTGGGGGGTAAGAATTGGAAGGAAAGCCCCTCATTACAAAGTAAACACAGAGAGCAGGAAATTGGGCTTTAATCCTGAGTTTGAGAGGTGGCCTCAGGGATTACTCTCTGGCTGGCTGTCAGCAGCAGCTTCAGGGAAAGGGTCTGAAGGGACCTGAATAGACATTCACCCGATAGCAGCGTAATCCTGGGCCCTGGAACAGCAAGACAGCTTGCGACACAGTAACGTGCTTTAACCTCTCCTTGGGCCTCGGAACCACCGCGAGAGCGAGAGAGAGAGAAAAGGGTCTTTGAACCCCATTGCACCCACCACAAGCCGTGCTTCCTGCTGAATTTCCACCCAAAATCTGCTGCCGAGTGCGAGTGGGCTACAAACGGTTAAAGGGAGCATCTGTTTCCTATTGGAGTCTTCGGTTCATATTGTGGGAAAAGGCGCCGGACACGCACAGGACAGTTTAAAAAAATATTAAAAAATTGCAGATGTATCCAAAGTTTTTTTTATTAATTGTTTCCATCCGGACTGAACATCTGTCTGACCTCGCGCACCGCAGCTGTCAAACCTTAGCTGTCCTTTCTTATGAATTGTTATTACTACATATATACATACACACACACATATATATATAAAAATCCTGGCATTTCACACAATGCCTTCACGTTCTGGCAGGACGTCTCAGAGTGCTTCACTGCCTTCAACGTAAAGTGCAGTGACTGTATATTTCTTGTCTTAAAAGAAATTTATGCCAAAAAGAGGCTTCAAAATTTTGGCTCCAATTTAAAGAATTGGCCAAATTGTGAACTCTTAATTGGAAATGCACCATAACACAACTAGACCCAGGGGGAATATCTCCCTGAGGTTTGAAGGCAGCTTTGGATCCCGGTCACTCTTTTCTGTAGGAACGGCAGCCAGAGAGAGAGAGAGAGAGAGAGAGAAGAGATTTAGAGGAACAAAAAGGGAGTGATATATATATCAGAAAAAGAAAAATACAAGACTGGGGGAAAGGGCAGAGAAAAGGACAGAGGAGCGCGACGAGAGTTGATGATGACGATCCTGATCCTTGCATTTGATGCAGCGCATTATCATGTCTTCAAGATGTCTCAAAGCGCTTCATAGAATATATTGTAAAGTGTAGTGACTGTGTATTTTGTGAGCGAGACTCAGTAGCCAATTGTGCACAGCAGCGTCTCACAAAGAGTCGTGGACTGAGTGACCAATTTTTTAAATTACTTTTGAGGCTGAGAGTGAGGCTAACGGCATTGGGAGAAGTGACTGGGTCATTTTATTCACATCGCAACTTTTTCCTTAATACATACAAAATACATTCCGATTCCAGAAATGCCCTTTGTTATCAGAGTGGTGTTTACGTCCTTTTTACGCTGAATCCTCCGCGAGAGGTCGACACTCAGGGCCACTGTCTGTCTATGAGGCAGATGTTCTGTGTTGGGTGAGCAGTGCAAGGCTGTGTTTACTGAAGGCTGTGCACTGCTCAGGAATGGGCAGCTCGATGCCAGAGCAACACAACCCGTCAGCACAGAACACTTTAGTGAGAAGGGAGGAGCATTCGAGTCAGTTTATTCCACTGGATTATGCCAGGGCCAAACATTAGGCTGAAGAAGGCAATCCTTCCCTCCCGACCCCCACCCCCCCCATCCAAACACACACTCACATTACCCCCGCGCCCCCACTTTAATATCAAACAGACATCCTAGACTGATTCAAGAGAGATGTGGTTCCTGAGTTTTTTTAAATCATCAAAAATATTTGGGTTCATATTTTGACCTGAAGATCCTTCAAATGAGTTTTACAATCTAGTTCATGGAGAGAGAAAGTAGTGTGTGGTGTGTGTATGTGTGTGGTGTGGTGTGTACGTGTAGTGTGTATGTATGTGTGCGTGCAGAGATTGAAACCTTTGTCAGGCTTGAGGTTCCTGCTCTCACAACGCTATTGCAAAGGTGTTCCTCATCTTCCAAACATCAGAAATCGCAGTTTAATTGTACTAATTGTATTATCCACAATCCCAGTATCGGGTGTGATGTTGGTTCATTCGGTCCTTCCTCGTTTGTGACTCGGAAGGTTGTGTGTTTGAATTCTCCTGGGACTGTAGCTTGTAGCCCAGATCGATGTTCCACAAACAGTGCTGAGGTTGGGGGTCTGCATGGCCAGACATGCCAGCCTTCTGATGATACTTTATCACCAATGTCCCTCACCTTCCTGTTCAGGTGGGCATTAAAGATTTCATGTTGCTATTGGAACAGGGACGAGAGTTTCTTTCTCTGAAGAACCCATAATAACGGGACAGTTTGGGGGGGTGGGGGCAGTAAACACTGACCCCACGTTATCGGGGTGGCCACTGACGTCACTTCCTCCTGCATGCAGGAGGCCGGCGGTGTTGTACAGTAAACCAACCTGCGCTAAGCTGGGGGGCATTGTATTGGGGGTGTATTAACGAGGCTCTGAGAGGCAGGCCGGGCCTTTGAGCTGAGTTGCTCTATGATTTTACCCTGGCAGGACAGAGGGCGATGGGGTGATGGCGAGGCCGGCCTCCATTTACGAGCTCATATTGTGTATTTTAAAGAACTCAAAAGGGTGGATCTTGTAAGGCCTGACACAGCCCAGCGAGGACAATGGGGAGGTCTCTGCTGGTCATTTCTGCACATTGCTTTGGAAATGGCGGATGTTAAACATTTGCTGTGACCCTTGCTAATACCTATTTAAGCCTGGTGACCCGGCCTTTGAACTTTTAGCCTTCATATACCCTGGTCCATTATCCAGACCCACTGTGGATAGCTCGGCCTATTGGCAGGCCTGATTAACTGCCTTCATTTGGGTTTCTGAAGAATTTCACCTTAATGTAATTGCTACGTACACAGCAAGAGCACAATTTGTGAATTATCTGCTTCATCGATTCACCCCCCTCTAAAGAAAAACTCCCCATGACGGCTCTGCAACCCTATAGGGGACAAACCCAGCCCAGGTGGAATAGAATGGAGAATAATGTTAAATGTCACTCAGTGATAGCGCTGTCTTGTTCTGCTTCACGCCTCAGCAAAGTGTCACGGGACTCAACTCCTGCTTTTAACCAGGACAGGAAGCCATTTTGCATTTCTTGTTTCAGGAAAGGAAGTTGTTTCCCATTATTTCCTATTCGCGGCCGTTTTTGTCTTCCTTCTTCAAGCAATTTTTATGTTCTTTTAACCGGTGAAACTTTGCACATAAATTGGAAATTAGTTGAGTTGAAGCCCTTCACAGCTCTAACTGATGCAAATCATTGTTAAACAGAATCAGAAACTAACAACTTGCATTTCCATACAGAACAATGTAATAATAATAATAATCCTTGTATTTGATATGGCGCATTATCGTTTCTTCGAGTCGTCTCAAAGCGCTTCACAGAACATACTGCAAAGTGTAGTGACTGTGGGCGAAACTCAGAACAATGTCTCGGAGTGCTTCACAGTGACAGGGGTTGGACACCAAAATGGTGAGGAGGGGCCGGGGGGGGGGGTGTGTGGGTGTGGAATGAAAGGTGACTGAAGGAGGTGTCAAAGAGGTAGGTTTTGAGGTGGGCTTTAAAGACTAATAGATAGAGAATAGGTGAGAAGGAGGGGGAGAGGCAGGGAGGACAGATATCAGGAGTCTGTCGAAAGCGTTTAATTATCTGAAATGTATTTACATTTGCTGCCAGCTGATTTGAGACCACATTGTTATTCTCTTGTTTTGCAGGTTATTCACACTTGCCAAGTAGCCTTTACTCTCCCTATATTCCCCTCGGTCACTTGGAGCACCCGGCCAGCAGCAGCCCCATCCTGGCACAGCTCACCCAGCACAGCCTGTATGAGGCTCAGAAAGGTCAGTAATGCTCGTGTTTGTCTAAACTCCATGAAGAAACCGGTTGTGTGAGCAGTGAGTTTTCCGTCATGGGAATTATCCGGTATTTGAAGGCATGGCCTTGGTGCCCTGGTTTCCAACGCTGTGGTTTTGGGATCAACAGGTGCACGATTAGGGCCAACACGTCTGCTCTTGGCAAAGTCTTCCTGTGACCTGACACTTCTAATTCTTTAACAATCAATGACTTTATAATGCCCCTGTTCAATGGTTTGACAGATAAATGAGTTATGAGTTTCCCTCTGATTGTTAGGTCCAGTGAGTACTTGTACGTATGGATATCTTTGTTCTGCTGAATACAATGGAAGTGTAAGAGTATATGCAAATACCATTGTAACTAGGAGCAACAGGTATATTTACTTCACTGCTTGTTGTACATTGTTTCTCAATGGGAGTGTTTGCCAGGATCAGTTGAGCAATATATTTTGTGACAATGCCTTCGATCTGGGTTCACAAAAGTTGACGTGCCACAGGACAAAGCAATATCACTTGGGCCTACAACAAAAGCAGCAACAAATGACATTTACATAGTGCCTTTCACGTCGGGAGGAGGTCCCAAGTTGCTGGACAATCAGGGATTTGGACCCTAGCTGGGGTTTGGCATCAGGAGGGCAGGGAGTGTGGGGGTAGGAGGGTGACCAGGGTACAAGACCACGGTAGGAGGGTACAAGGCACTGGCTTGCTCGGGCATAGGGCCAGGGCATCAAGACCTGTTGCGGTGCCATTTGTGCCACCTGGGCTCAGATTGGCTGATGCTCACTCGCAGGTCACCAGTTGGAAACCAACCAACTGTCAAGTGACCTCAGGCTGTTTGTGTCTGGCTGCCGCCTGCCCTCTGTGTGCAGTGGGAGAGGAGCCAAGACACCAGCGACTAGACTGAAGAGAGTCGAACATTCGCCATCTCGTGTCCACACAGTCCTTTCCAACTCGTGGTTTAAACCACTCCCCCTGGATGTCTGGGGAAGATCAGCCAAGCAGTCAGCAACCAAAGGGTCATGACTGGTCTGTCAGGCTCAACCCAATTCCCTGGCCAGAAAACCCTGGATGTCAGTGCCCCCTGGTGGCCGCAGCGTGCATTACCCAGCTCTCTTGCCTTTGGAGGTGAGATGTGTGAGATCTCAACTCCTGTTTGAATTGGCACTGCCTTGTTTACAACAACAATTTGTATTTACACAGGGGCAGCATCTCAGAGCGCTGAACAATCACGGAGCCTGACGCCGAGCTGGGGGGAGGGAGGGAGGAGGTGACTGTAAGCACGGTCGAAGAGCAAGTATCTTCAGTCATGATCTAAAAGAGGGGAGAGAGGGGGCAGTGCAGAGGGATTGGGGGAGAGCATTCCAAAATTCCGAAGCTTATGTCAAAGTGTCGGCCAAAAGGATGAGAGTGACATAGCCCAGAATCGCTGGGTAACAAACCAGTAGCTTGCCCTGTATCTGTGTAGTTCAGCTCAATTTTGATATCATTGGAATCCATCAGAAACGGTTTGTGGTTTCTGACTGTACGTCTGCTCATTTGGACTTTTGTTTCTGATTACAGACGGGTATTATTTACCCAGCCATGCAGGCCAAACGTCCCTCCACACTACAACCCACCCCCAGGCCGCCATCTCGCGAACACCAACAAGCCACGCCTCCATCCTGCGGGAGAAGGAGATGTGCCACCCTCACAAAAATGTGAAAGAGGTGGAGAAGTATCTGGGCAGGGAGGCCAAGGAGAAACTGTACAGGACTGAGGTCAATCTCAACATGGGTAAAAGAGAGAGGGACAAGGCCCAGAGGGAGGAGTCGGCCAGGCCCAGGAGCGTAGTGGACCTCACACAAGATGCACGGACTGATAACGATCGGAGGATGCACGCCCTCGACAAGCCTATAAAGACAGCGGAGCACCTCTCCGGCCTTCACAGCCATGCCCACCACTCCCCAAACCGGGGTCTGGGAGAACAACCAAAGGCTAAGAACCCTCTGCAGACCTTGTCTCTCAGCAATTGTAACAGCGGCTCCAGTTCCTCGCTCAGACTCTCGGGACACGAGCTAGAAAGGTGCGGCAAGGACTCAGTCAAGCACGACGAGAACATGAGGCCTCTGTTGCACGTCCCCACAGACAAGCCCAGGAAGTGCGAGGCGCTGCCCACCTCCATGGGCTCGCTGCCCGTTCCCTGCGGCTGCCCCAACTCCCACCCCTCCCAGACTGTCCGCATCCCTTCCTCCAGCACATTCCCTCCTCTTCCCGTCCATTCCAGCCTCTACACCATATTCCCCACTGCCAGGGAGCCGGGGAAAGAACATAAAGTCATTGCACCCACCTTTGTGCCTTCCGTTGGGTTTTACGATGACAGAAATGGGCCCATTCAGATAGCTTCTCAGGCGAGAGATAATAAAAACGACAAAAATAAAGACAAGGACCTTGGTAAAAACGCCGGCGACAGAGCAGGCATTTTGCAGTCCACCTGTGAAAGGACCCCGACTGAGGCCTCCCGATTAATGCTAACACAGGACCTGCCCACGCACTTGGACCTCAAACGGGTAGAGAGCGTGAGGGAGGAGGGGTCGGTCATTCGGTCTAACTCTTTAGCCACAAAGCGGCCAGTGAATTGCGAGGTGTTTGTGAGCAGGGCAGGCCACAGTCCGGCCGAGATTCGAGGCTTGAACAGCGCGGTGTCATCATTGTCTAAGGACTTGGTCAAGTCGGGTTTCGAGGCCGATCAGAGGACACAGGAGCGGGAGAGGTTCCATAGGTCTGGTCTGAAGGATTCCTGTAAAGTGTACAACGGCATGGACGTGGGCAGGCTGCACTTGGAGCAGGCACAGCTAAAGCGTTCCGGCACTCCTGAGACCAAGTGGAAGCCGTTCGAGATGGCCACTTACGCCACCACCCAGATGGCGGCCCTGGCAGCTCAGCACAGTCATGGGCTGCGTCCCGAGGACGAGCAGAAGAAGGTGTTCCTGGACCCCGCAACCCTGCAGCGACCGGGGGGGGTGGGGAACCCCAGCGAGGTGTCCGCCATGCAGAGCCTCATCAAGTACAGCGGCAGCTTTGCCAAGGGCTCGGCGGGGAGGTCTGGCAGTGGCAAGAAGAGCCCGTTCGGGGGTTGGGCAACATGAAGAACGACCCACACGGAGCCTCCAAGTTACAGCATCTGCCGCTCCAGCAGCTCAGCAAACAGCTGAAGAGGGACCCGGAGAGGCCCGAGAGTGCAAAGTCCTTCGGGAGGGAGGGCAGCGGGTCTCAGGGCGAGGTGGAGGTCAGGCACCCGCCCGTGGGCATCGCAGTGGCTGTCGCCCGCCAGAAGGACAACAGCAGCAAACCCAGCGCTGGGGTGATGGATCGTGATCGCTCGCTCTCCATGAACAGTATGAAAGGTAAGGACGCACTGGGGCGGTGGTGGGGGGGCTCTGTGCTGTGCTGTGGGGCAGGGCTGAGCTGAGCCAGTTACTGACAGAGATGCTCAACGTGGAGGTGGGCTGGGAGGAGAGAGCCTGAGGTCCTTCCCCCCGCACTCCCTCCCAAAGTGCTCGTGCCTCAAACTCTATCCCCCGTTTCCCAAATCCTTCTAAAAAAAACACACGTCTTTATTCCACTGGGATTTTCAATGCTCTTCCCACTTCCCGACTTGCTCAGTGATGCACTTATACATACAGAGCCCTATGAGGACTTTGAAATGTTTTCTTATGTGAAGGGTCTTACATATAAGTAGAGCAAGTTTTTTTTTAACACTTTGGCACTTCAAACCTCTTATTTATTGTTCCTCAAATAATAATAATCCTTGCATTCGATATCGCGCCTGATCACATCATTGAGTTGTCTCAAAGCGCTTCCCAGAATATATTGTAAAGTGTAGTCACTGTGCATTTTGTGGGCAAATCGCGGCAGCAGTGTCCCACACACGGTGGTGGATTGAGTGACCACATTATGTACCTTGGAGACTGTGGTGCACAGACAGGATGTGAAGTTGGGGTCAACTGTTTTGAAGCCATGTCATTTGGAGTTGATGGAGAGCAGTGGGTTTGGGCAGTGGGCTGCTTCTGTCTGTTTGAGTGATGTCCTGGGTTTCAGACTCCAGACACCGAGCCTTGAGCAAGCACAGGAGCAAATTCCACTGGACATCAGCGAGGGTTTAAGTGAAGGAGGATTTTGTGCCTCGAACAGATTTTGACTTTACTGTTTAAAGTTATTCAAAATGTTCTGTACAGAGTAGACCTTTACAGCACAGAAGGAGGCTATCTTGCCCATTGTGTCTGTACTGATTCTCTGTATGAGCTATCCATTCAGTCCCATTCTCCTGCCTGTCTCTCTCCCCTCCCCCCTAACTAACTCCCCAACCTTTTATACTGTATTTCTCCTTTTCAAATATTGATCTAATTCCACCTTAAAAGCTAATATCGATTCTGCCTCCACCACTCACTCTCCCAGGTTTGGCATTCCATATCCCTCTGTGTGTTGAGTACATCTAAAAAATATATTCTCCTAACCTCTCCCTCCCGTTGCACATTTGCTAACAGCCGTAAATCTGTGTCCCTCTGGTTCCTGACTCAACTGGAAGTAATGTCACCCTGTTTATTCTCTCAATTCCTCGCCTCATTTTAAAATTCCACAACCAGGACCCCTCTCAATCTCTGCTGTTCTAGGCAAAGCAGCTTCCTATTTCCCTCTAGTCTCTCCTCAGTGAAACCCTCTTATTCCTGGCGTGTTGCATTGACCTTGTGTAAGAAAAACAGCCCACCTTTTCCGTGCTGACACCCTCAAGAAGACAAGTGTTTTGCGAGCTTAAAACCACTGAAAGAACTGAACGAGTCTTACTTATAGCAAAGAGAAAAACTTTTCTTTCCTGAAATCAGAATGTGCATTGCGTTTATTTTCCGCTACTTAACTTGGGATCTGTTTGAAACCGAAAGTAAGCGCCAAATCCTTTCAATGACTCAGATGAAGGCACTCACTCCCCCACCCCCCCGCCCCACTCCCCCAGTTAAAACATTGGTCGCACACTTCATGGCTGGTTGTGAGCCATTGGGCTGTTGGGCTCTCCTACAAAATATACAGTCACTTTACCGTTTACTTTACACTTTAAAGCACTTTATAGTGAATCCTTTGAAACGTCCTCTTGACACGGAAGGCGCTATATCCAATGCAAGGATCATTACCATTACACGGAGTGGAGTACGTTTCTCTGGGCGTCTTGATGTTGCACATCACGTGGCCCCCGGTCTTGTCAATCATCAACACATGGTGATGTGTTTTTAATGTATAAACTGATTGGTGACACGGTGGGGAAGTAGGAGAGAGACACTTCCCTCTTGTTCGCATTCAGCTGTGTGGAAATTCTTTCAGGCTAGACATCATGTGTTCTGTCGCTGAAGCCTTTTGTCTGCGGAGTGGCTGGTGTGTTTGTTGCCAAGGCCCAGCAGTCCACAGTGGGCGATGGCAACACAGGGAGCTGTGTGTAATGCAGTTTCAACGATGAGGACACAGGCTGCTGACATTAAATGTAATTTACTGAGCAGAACGAAACCTGCAAACAAGAAGCGCATTGTACTAGACCTTGCCGCCGGTTGCTAAGAGACAGGGCAAGCCTGGGGCGAGAGGTTTTTATTCTTCTGCGGACAGGCACACGGACGGACGGACGGACAGTCCGGTGATAGTCATTAGTGACGAGAGGAGATACAGCACGGAATTCGCCGAGCTTTGACAGAAAGGTGGAAGGAAGGATACTGATCTGTCATAGTGTAAGAGGGAAAATGCTGGTGTTCTAAGCCTGGAAACAGTTGCCTGGAAACAGCCTTAATTTTCGCCTTGGTAGTCATCAGCTCATACTCTGTCTTCACTTAAGGACAAGTCTCCTATTCATTGATGTCAACAACAGCTTTCTGTGCTGTGCTGAATTATCTCAGTCTAAACTACTTATTGGTGTTAATGGAGGCAGGCGGGGGAGTGAGTGGAGGGAAATGGATGGAAGGGAGAGGAAAAATTGCAGGTTTAAACAGTGTTGTTGACTTTGCCGTAAAATGCCATAAAATCCACCACTATTAAATTATATTAATTTAAAAACAACATGAAATAGACGACTTATTGGGCTTTTTCTGCGTGCTAATTGGCCGCCTGCAAAATCCACAGTCACTGCGCACTTTGAGAGACTTTTCCACATGATAAATGGCGACAAAAATGCAATTTCTCTTTCTTTCTGGTGCAATCTGTTTAAAATAACCCCTTTGGCTGCCACCGTATTGGCCAGCCATTTAATTAGACTTGACAGACATACATGTTCATGTGTCAGACACACATGTTAATGTATCAGATACATGTTAATGCGACAGACGCCATGTATCTATTGGTGCCTTTAGGTTTCTCTCGATGTTCTTATTCTGACCTTGGTTTCGCTCCCTCTCTTTACCTTCACCACAATCTGGTGTCCCACCTCCTCCCCATCTCAAATAATCTTCCTTTTCAAAAAAAATCTCAAGGAAGCTGCGAGCAGAAGTCCTGGCAGGAAGAATTGTTGCATTTTACCAAAAGAAAATGATTTATTTTAAAAAAAAGAGAGAGGGAAGATCTGGAGGAAATGTTATCTGCTCTGTCTGGGTACCTCTCGCTTGTCATTAACACTGGCATTCTGGTTGGCAATAAACACAGCAACTTTGGTGATATATGTGTGTGTGTGTGTGTGTTTGCACGTGTGTGTGTGTGCATGAGTATGTGATTGTAACGGGGAAATTCCGTGATTGGTGGACATCACCAATGGCTCCGTATTAAATGCCGCCTGGAATTTCAGACTCCCGTGGGTGGGGGGGTGGGAGGTGGTTAAGGGGGAAGATCTCTGTGTAATGGTGATCGCTGTGAAATCCCCTGGGGCCCGTGTTACACTGCGCTGATGTGAACCTGTCCTGAGAAATAATAATAACGATAAGCCTTACATCTGAAATAATGCCTTTCATGTCAGAAGGATGTCTCACAGCGTAGTGACTGCGTATATCGAGGGCGAACCTGAGTGAATGAGAAACTGAGGCCCCACGCACTGTTTTCAGAAATACACAACGGATTTTCCTCTCCGTAAAGTCTGCTCACTAAATCTCGCCCCCACTTCAGCTGAAGCCACAGATAGAATTTACACATTATTTTCATAAAACCACGGAGACGCCGGGGCAATATGATGTTTTTTCCTTTTAAGACTTTCCATCGAGGATCTGCAGCACTCACACACAGTTTATTTGGATTCCTGTTGAGCTCAGGCACCACAAAGTATTTTTCTTTTAGCTTCTGGGCTCAAAATCTTTCATTTATCCACACAAAAGAAAACATTCCACATCTCCTTTCCACTTCACTCTTGGCTGTGGGCCACATAGCAAAAGGACAGCAGTAAATTGTCAGACTCCCACTGTCAATACAAAGAACCCCGGCCAATCAGATAGACACACTGAGGACCATGTCCATGATGAACTATCCCAGCAATGAGTTTGTCTTGTAATTATTCGGGAAACGTTAATCCAAACTTTTAACGTTCGTTTATCCCAGCAATTAATATGAAGCCAGCCAGGCGCTTTCTGGTGTGTAAGGCGCTATATACGTGCAATATGTGGTTTTGAACCTTTTTCATCTAAAACATCCACAGCAAGTTGTTGTTAGCATCCTTTACAATCCTGGTTGAGTTTAAGGACCACTTTTTCTCTTCGTGGGGATGGGTGTGTGTTGTGAGAGAGAGAGAGCAAAGTGAGTGGGGGAGAGAGAGAGAGAGAGAGTATGTGAGAGAGAGAGAGTGAGCGCGTGTGTGAGAGAGGGGGGGATTCACATGGTTTCTCCTTCCCAGGACACGGCCGTACGGATGAGGAGAGAAGTGAGGATCGTCACCGGCACCGGGAGGAGCACCTCATCGCCCGGGAGCAGGAGAAGCTGCTCAGGTCAGTGTGTTTTTCATTCATAAAATCCCACATGTTTCAGAGTCTTGGAGTTTCAGTGGTTTGAGCAGACAGATCAGTTCTTCTGCCAAGTCCAGTACAGCTACTCTGACCAAAAACTATCACATGATTTTTTTTCACAAACACGCTTAAGTTTAATTTGCTCAATGACCCCCACAAAATATACAGTTAATTAATTTACTGTAATTCAGTATATTCCCTGCAGTGGCTTTGAGGCATCTTAACAATGTCTAATCATTGATATGGAGATGATTTACAAGAAATTCTCACGGTTGGAGTGTGAATCAGGAAACCGGTGTCTGGGGAAGAAGTACAGAAAAACTGATTTCAAATTGAAGAGTGAATCTTGAGAATTGTCCACAATTCTGCCCAATGTTATTTTTGAAGGTGGAATTGTGTATCTCGACCTTGCAATGCATCTTTTTTTTGACCTGCAAACTTGACCTTCGGGGCTATTGAAAGTCGATCCCCTGAAGTTACAGTGAGAGGAAACTACTCACTGTTCTGCCTCTCTGCTCTGCCCATGTGAATGAAAAAGCTTTCAGCTTTTACTTATATTTACAGTGAAAAACAGACAAAAGAACAATGCAAGAGGGTGTGTTGGGAATTGCCTTCAGAGAAAAAGAATCTGGTTTTATATTTTTTATGGCCCTTTTTATTTTATTTGTTACCAGATAAAAAGCTTTTTGAATCCAGGGCTTGGGACCTGGAGACCCTCAGTATCAGTTCATTTCCTTCTGAGTTGTTTGTTCTTTGTTGGTGCGGCCCAATGTGTGTGTATAGGGAGAGAGAGAAACCTATTCACTGCTTCCAACTGAGGTGTGGAGCTGTTATGCTGTTAAGTGATTTATGCTTTCCTGTCTTTCTGCGCGCACAGATAAGTCAAAGATGAACGCTTAAGATGTTTGCTTCACAAAGTGCTGCTGAATCTCACTTTCCCGGCCCCGCCATCTACCATTGTTACATGTGTGTAGGAAAGATAGGATTTGCAACAACCCCCATTGCGTACAGTTAAACCACACAAAACATCATTTGTTTTAGCCACTTGGTCAGTATTGTTGCAAATACCGACAAATGGCAAATACATTATTATTTGACCCATACCCTCCCTCCTCTCCTCTTTCCCTGCTTTGGGCTCTCACTCCTTCTCTGTAAAGCCTGTTAGGATATTTTTCTACATTATGAAAGGCGCTGTATAAATCCAAGTTGCTACTATTCACATGTGCTCTTGACAGTGAGTGCTGACTTGATTTATTAACTACAGGAAGCATCACAATTCAACCCAGTCTTGCTCTCCTTCCCCCACATCTACACACATCTATACCTGAGATCTCTGGATGGATCAAAAGCAAGGAGCCATGGCTTATTCCCTCCCCTCCTCTCCCAACCCCAGGACACAGAGAATAATGTTAGTAGCAGCCCAGCCTGAGATCAGAGTTTGTGTTCCTCTGTCTCAGGGTGTGTGCAATTGGCATTTATTGCCAGCCCTTGTTACTCCCAAGAAATTAGCCGAGTTACTCCTCATTGGTGCTCAGCAACAGTTAATCTGACCACCTCCTCGTCTAAACTTAGTCGAACGTTCCTTCAGTCAGTCAGTCGATGGGTGATACTGTGATGTACATATAAGATAAGTATCAAGTAAAGGTTGTTTGAACTTGCTGTTTGACTGACCTGATTTTCCTGTTTGGCCCACCATGCAGGGACAGTAAGGAGATGGTGGATTTTGCCCGGATACACCCCTCGAGCTGCAGCACCACTAACCTGAACTCTAACCTGATGGTGATGGGAGGCCCAGCTCTGGCTGGTTCAGGACGCTGGCCTGCTGACCCCACCTCACACTTAGCCACGCACCCCTGGCTCCCTCGCACGGGCAGTCCCTCCATGTGGTTGACGGGACATCCTTACGGTCAGTACAAAGCTCAACAGTGGACTTCTTTCCCTGCATGGCACAGGCACAGGGAATAAATGGCAGCAAAGAAATCTTGCAAACACACAATCAATGTAATTCTCAAAGCAGCAAAGTTACACAACCTGCCCTCGTTCCTCCCCCAGTCACCAGCTATCAGCTCACAGCCCACAGTCTCACACGGGGATCTCTATCGGGTTGGATTCTGTGGAGCCCGGTGATGGGTTTCCACGTGTCGGATACAGACTGACCATCGAGCATGTTCCACCCGATTATCGGATTTTGTCAGATATTTTGATCCCAATTCCCTGACATTTTGCTCCTCAGTGAAAACACAGAAAAAAACAGTGTCATGAGCTGCTCTCTTCTCCCTGTTTCCTGCAGGACTAAGTCATCCATCGTTACACCAGGGCATTCCAGCTGGATTTCACCCCAGCATTCCCAGCTCTATGCCATCAGCGTACCAGCTCGCCAGAGACCCTCAGTCTGGGCAGCTGGTGGTCATCCCAACAGAACATATACCGCACTTTGGTACGTTAAGGGAGGTGGTGGGGGGGAAGCCTAGTGATGTGTGTGAGAGTGTGTGAGTGTGTGTGTGAATGTGTGTGTGTGTGTGAATGTGTGTGAGTGTGTGAGAGTGTGAGTGTGTGTGTGTGTGTGAGTGAGTGTGTGTGTGTGTGTGTGTGTGTAAGTGCGTGTGCATAAAGGGTGCTATATAAATGCAAGTACCAGTTGTTGTTGAAGTGACTTGTATAACAGGGCCACGGAGTGTATGTACCAGGCCTGTTTCTCTTTTCCCTTTATAAATCCTAACTGTGTTGTCGTTGCTGTGTCCAGCGCCTTGGGATGACCTCCTGATGCGAAAGGAACTGCACGAGTGTAATTTGTTGTTGCTGTTTGCCCCCCACAGCTGAGCTGATGGAGCGAGCTCCCCCACTTTGGCCAGCCATGTACCCAGGGCCTGCGGGGGGCTCCCTACAGCACGCACACCAGCTCCAGCTCCTCTCCCACCAGCAGCTCCTCCGCCAGCACGAGCTGTATGTGCTGCAGCAGCAGGCTGCCCACGCCATGGAGATCCAGCGCAGCGCACAGCTCGTCGTAAGTCCATCAGCGGAGACACGCGGGTGTTGGCAATGTGGAGGGGGGTGGGGGCTGAGCCTGAGGTGTACATAGCGGTGCTTATATAGTTTGGGACACGACACGTCAAGATGTCAAGCAACTGCTAGGATGGTGGAAGGTGAACTGGATGGACCTTGGTCTTTTTTCGCCCAGCAAATTCTTCAGTTCTTACGTTCTTTCTTACGCCGGCTGGTCACACCGCACTGACCGCTGGTTTTGTTCTGCAGAATCATGATAATATTAAAATAATAATAACAATGTTACAACAATAATAAGACTATTCAATGGTGGCCAGACAACCTCCAGCAAAAAGTAGCTATCCTAGGAAGCTCAAATATATTAAGGAAATTGTCACGTTCAGCTTTAACTTTCAAGAAAATTACAGGGGAATAAAAAAGGCCTAGAAATTCAGGCGATATTTAGGAATTTTGACGAATTCTGCAAGCTCCGAAACGTGACATAAATAAAGAGTCGATGTTAGACGCGGGTGGAATCTCTCTCCCAGGAGGGAGGGCGGGCTTCAGTTTATAACGCTGCTTTAATGTCTACAACAGGAAAGGTTGAAGGCCACTGAGCACAGGAGTGAAATGGAAGAGAAAGTGTGTAAGAGAAGTTCTGAGGGAAGCAAGTCTGGCCTCATGATGACCTGCTCCTCTTCAGGAATGTTACACAAGAGACATCCGTGCCATTCCCCAGGACCATCCACCTCCTACAATAAAACTGTCACCCCACCTCTCCCTGCCCACGCTCCCTCTCCCATGTTGAAACTGAAGTCTGATGCCAGGCAGGAGATGGAGGAAGCTTTGCCCCCACGACCTTACCACTTACCGTCTCCGACATCTCGTCCGTCCAGCCCTCCCCAGGCCTCGCCCCCGCCCACTCCCCCTCTGCCCCAGAAAGAGGAAGCCTCCCAGGAACCCGACAAGAAAAGCTTGGAGAAGGAGGCGTCTGCCTCCTTTCAGGCCTTGTTTCCCGGTAAGGAGGTTTACTGTTTATTTCATTATTTTGTTGGGGGGTGGGTGAAGGAAGGGGGAAGAGGGGGAATCATTTTCCCCTCTCCCTACCATGGAATAGACCTCCACCAACAGTATTCTGGCACCTGCTCGGGTGGTCAGGTCACCTTCCTGTTTGAGATTGGGTGATGGGCTTGGGCCAGTTACTGGGTGTCAGCCTGGCTCAGTCAGCAGCAATCTCGTCTCTGAGGCAGAAGGCTGTGGGTTCAGGCTCCCACATCAGAGACTTTGAAGTCGTCTTGTCTAGGCTGACACCCCAATACAGTGCTAAGGGATGGGTTATATTGCCATCCATTGGATGAGCTGTTAAAGCTGAGCTGAGGTCTGTTCTGTGAGCACAATGGCTGACGCTCTTAAAACCAGAGGTGCCATCGTGTGTCTGCACGTGGGCCATTGGAATAAGACTGGATGTAATGTGGGTCCTTTATTCTCTGTGTTTTGTAGAGATTGCGCCAGGATATCCTTATCAGTCTCTCCCCACATCGTTCGGCAGCCACTACCCTTACCTGCTGCAGCCGGCGGCTGCATCGGACGCTGATGGCTTGGCCCCGGATGTGCCCCTGCCAGCCGAGCCCTCTGCGCCCATGCCCTGCTCCATCACACCCTCCTCGCCAGGCGCCAAGCCCATTCGCCTGCACTCCCCAACGACAGAGGAGCACTTGCAGGCCACGATGGACGCGGAACCTATTGAGACCAAAGTGGAACACGAAGACCTGATTGAACTTGAGGAGAGCAAGACCCTGTGTGATCAACACGCGGAGCTGCAGAGCAAACCCCTGCCGTTTGTGCGGGAAATGAGCAGTGAACCAACGAACTTGACCACAGAACCCAAAGTCACACCTGTCATGGAGAGCCAAGAAGATGCCCCAGGCTGCCCATCAACTTATAGGATGCTGGCTTGTGCTCCTCAGTTGGAGGCTAAGGTTGAGCTTCAACAGGTCCAGGACAGCTCACCTCGAATAGACTTTGAAGACACTTTGGCACAGTCTGAAATGGACATCTCAAAGGTGGAGGAACTCGCACACCACAACGAGCATTGTTTCAAAACCGAGCGAGTGGACAATGAGAGTAGTGGTGAAGGTGTATTGCATGGTGGGCCTTCAGAAGTTACAGACCATGCCCTGGAGAACTTTTGTGACTTGAAAGAAGAACTGCTGCGGTTTCAGATCCCCGACGTTGCGGTCCCGGACATCAAGCTTGATGACCCGATGGCTGGGTTGAATGCCTTGATGGCTGCGGTGGAGCTCCCTCAGGTCTCATCGCTGCCCATTCAGACCATCACAACCACCGTCCTCACAATGCCTCCTGACTTCCAGGTGGCTGACAGCTCTGCCCTCATCGGCATTGCCCTCCTCAGTGAAATAGCCGAGCTTGAGCTGGAACGCCGCAATTCCAGCGAGCTGCAACGTAAGTAACACCTTGAAAATATTTTATTGTCTAAATGAAAAATTGCGATGAGAAATATTGTAAGGTTTAATTAAAACTCTCTGATACATAAATATAACTGGGCTACAAAGTCTACCTTGCCCTCCCTACCCTGTGAGACCCAGTTTGTATTAAAATTTAAGATCACTCAAGTTAAGATCACTCGTGGAGGCTTTGATCCTACCGTCCAAGCTGGCACTCCAGTATAGTTCTGGGGAGGTGGACTGCATTGTCTCAGAGTTGCTGTGTTTTGGATCAAAGGTTAAACCATCTATAGATGCCTGTTAAAGATCTCCACGGAACTATTCAAAAATGGGAGTTTGTCCAAGTGGTCCCATCCCAACAATCTCCCAAATAAATTTGTCATTCACATCATGTAATTGGGAATTTGCTGCGTGCCATTTGGCTGCTGTGTTTACCCACAAAATGTATAGTGACTAATGTATAGAAATGAAGAAATATTCAATCAAGAATATGTATTTTGTCGGGCAACCATAAAGTTTGACCATCACTGATATACATGATATCCAAATGGTAACAGTATAATTGCATTTGATGGTGGGTGGGGGGGAGGGGGCAAAAACATTGTAAAAGAATCTTTGCCTGTGGTTGTCTTTGAAGGACTGGAAGGGGGTGAGGTCCACCTGGATTTGGAAAGCCTACTTGCTGCCAGCACACAGGTACTGATGATGGACGCCATGACTAACATCAGCACAGATGTTCTGAAGGACACACATTGTGGTGCCCCGATGATCAGACTCTCTCGTGAGCTGAACCCTAATAAACGCTACAGCTGGATGCAGAAGAAGGACGAGCCGGTGAGTGCCCTTGGGACATCCTCCTGATATCTTTGAAAGATTTGCTGTTATTGATCTATAGGTGTTACGGATATGAATTCCACTTCAAAATGTTAAGGAGCTCACTGGCTCAAGCCTATCTCTAAAGCCGTATGCCTTTAAACCTAGATGTTCTCCATTAAATCTGCCATCGAGGGGATGGATGCCATGGAGGTGGATTACAGGATGAGGTTGGCAGAGCTACAGAGGAGATACAAGGAGAAACAAAGGGAGCTGGCCAAACTCCAGAAGAGGAGAGATTCTGAGTAAGTGACTTGGCTTTGGGGACCCTTCAGTAAAGCTGACTATGAGTTGCAGCCAAATGGTTGCAGTGTTCCTTTGAATCTACTTGGGGATTTCACAGTGAACCAATACATCTGAAGTCCTGAGGTTTCATCCTTTCCACTACCAGTAGCAAATGTGGTTCAGTCACAATAAAGATGGATGGAGTCATTCAAATTCCCGAGCGCACCAATCGACCTGCAAAGAGCCAATTGAAGCCTAGTCACTGTGAAGGCTTAACACTGAGCACATTGCAAACAGGAACACGGACCAAAGTAGATTCTCTTAGTTAAGATCAATCAAAATGTGTTTTGATCTACAACACCTACTGGTTTCCAAGTGATATTTCAAAACGCTCCATACCGTATCTTTGTAGGGAAACCCGAGATGAGAAAAGCAGGAGTTTGGGGAGGAGGGGACCTGGAAGGCCACGAAAGAGGAAACACGGCTCGAGTACTGCTTCACTGTTTGTCGATAGAGGGAAAGGTGACTACAAGAGTGGGAAGTAAGTTCATTCCTGGATAAGAAGCCATTCACTTATTGACTGGGCAAACGTCCCATGACTTTGGCAAGTGTTACCTGAACACAAGACCGCCCTCCCCCCCCCCCCCCACCCCACCCAACTCCGCCACTCCTATATTAACACCCTGTGTCCTATACTTTCAAACCAGTTCAACAATTAACTTTCAAGTCACTGTCTGTCAACGCTTCATAGTGAGGGGACAGGTTTGTCCATAGTGAGGAGGAAGGTTTCAAGTTCTCTGGGACGCTATATAAATGCAAGTTGTTACTGTTGTCCACTGCGGTATGAAATCGTTAGGGGAGGTCACTGAACCATGAACTAATATAACATGTTATTAGATCATCAGGATTAATCTGTGTAGGTTACACCTCTCTCTCTCTCTCCCCTCTCAAGTCCATAAGTTGTTCAACAGTGGGGTCCAGAATGCATAATTTCTACATTTCTTCCCACCAACCCACAGGAACTGCATGTAGGTCACATCACAGTGAAGTTCCTGAGGAGCTGTGTGACGTACTCAGTTACTAGAAAGAATGTCTATTTATGGGACTGTGATATCCTCGTTAAGGAATCCCATTAGAAATGGCTTAACACTCTCCAGGATTAAGTATGCAGGATGTGTTTCCCCCGTGCATTTCATTCCAAATACACGAGAATTTGGAATACTCTTAAGCACGGTGTTGGGTTTACACTCCTGTCAGATGCCCAGCTGACCAAAAACAATATATAACAATATATTCTATATATATATATATATAGAAAAAACATTTTCTGACTCCATTAACAGTGTGTGCTGACCTGGATGATCTCAATCTTGATGGCAATAAAAGAAGTATAATTGGCTCCAGTAGTTGGGAGGTGATAGAAATCAGCTATCGAGTGACTTCTGCTGCAGGTATTTGTGCGTAAACTGAGGTCACCTGTAATAATCCTTTGCTCCACGGTCAAGTAATGTTGGTGTTGGAACTCATCGTCTAGACTCGCAGGTGAATCTTGGTCAGGTACCAGAGGGTGACTAGAACTTTGCTCGATTGTGCTTACATTGAAGTGTCTGAACCCTCAGCGGAAGACAACGAGAGTCGGATGCGTTGTTGGGAGAGCAGAAGATTTTTCTGTGTAACATTGATCGCCAGTTATAGTTGGTTCACATTAATGATCCCAGTCAATATGGTTTGTTACTGTGCATTTTGATCATCAGGCATTTGAGAGGATTCCTGCTGTGTGATGAGATGGAGATGGGCGAAGGAGCCAGAAAAAGAGTCAAAGGACTGAACCAGGATGAAGAGGATCAGCTGGAGAGCGTGAGCGTGAGAATGAAAGGGAGAAGTCAGATGTGGGATGATCACAACGCCTCTTCTAGCTTTTACCTTGAGGTGAGCCATTGGCAATAGGACAGCTTCAATGGTCCTCTTCAACAAACTGAATACAAAACAGCTCTTGAAGTCTGATCAGCCTGTACCAAGCTTTAAACCCGTTCTATCAAATGCCATTTACAGTCATTCAACTAGAGGAAGACGAGGTGATGGGTTGTCCCCATTTGTAGTCACATTCTTTATCACTTTTAGGATTTATGAATCATTTGGCGTTTAAATATCTCTATCCAGAGTCCTTCCCACCTAATGGTGTTGCCTTAAATTATGTATAACCTTGAACTTATTGTTTGAGATGAGAAATAAGTCTATCATTAGACTCAGGATTCTTGCTCTTCTCCCCCATCCCCCTAACTTTAAATCTTCATTGAAGTCTTATGGTGTTGAGATTGTCTTCATATCGACATGGTGACTGATGTTTGACTTTCTGTTACTTTCAACCCAACAGAGCCACGTTAAACCCAAGAAGAGGAAGGTCAGTGAACAGGACCAGTTGGCTACCAAGCTGCACCAAACGCTCTCGCTAACTAAACTAAAGTCACCCTTTAAGTTTGCAGATGGTTCCATGGGGAGGCAGAAATGTACCTCCATGGACAACTGTCGGCACCTGGGCAACCCCCACGAAGATTTTCTGAGGAGAGACGGGAGGAAGGCACTGCACAAAAGCACTGCCGGCTCACAGCACATGCTCTCCTCCAAAGAGAGCAAACTCAAACTGGCCGTCAAGGGCAAGAAGATGGAATGCAGCTCGAAGATGAAGGGTAGGATGACGCCTTCTCACTGTCCAGCAAGGTCTGGGCTCAGCAGTTACTCCTACCGTAAGTTCTACTCTTTAAACTCACTGAAATAGAATTGCATATATATATATAATAATCTTTGCATTTGGTAATGCATCTCATCACGTCGTTGAGACGTCTGTAAAGTGGACTGAATGTATATTTTGCGGGCAAAATGTAGAGTTAATGGAGTATAATATATATACTCCACGTAGCCACCTTTAAGAAAACGACCCAGATGGGATACAGAATTGGTGTGTTGTCTGGAATCGAACAGCATTACTGTATTGCATGCATGCGATCGAACATTTTTTCAAAAAAAGTTGCTTGTTTAGAAACGTGCTGTCAATATACAGCTGAGCTCTTTGTGCTCCGTTGCTGTCAGCCTCTGCTCTAGTCTCGAATGTGACGGCACAGAAAATGTTTACATATGTTCAAAAAACTGCTTTTTTTAAAAAAATTGCCGTTCCTTCAAGACGGCCTGTACAAAAATGTTGTCGTTGATTGATTTGCTGAGCTGCTGATGTGCTTCTCAGAGTGAGGAATGTGGGGGCGGGGACAGGATACTTAGACCTCCCGGAGTGCAGGAATCTCTGATCATGTCATATTGGAACATTCACTGAGGAGTTGTTGCACTGTTAGCCTTTTAAGATGCACATTTCTTAATTGACTGAAAATCCTACCGACTTGAGGGAACTTGGTGAAAGGTAGACATACAGTATTTTACAATACGGCACATTGTTCCTTCTGAATCCCACCTGCACACTTCAGTATGAAGACGTAAGTTGGTTATATTGGAAATAGGTGGTGTATGATCTTGAGCACTCCCAATGGCTCGGCGTCTGTATGTAAACGTGGTGCGAAGTGAACCAGGAAGGTCCTAGCTTGATTTAGCTGTGGTGACTGGTGTTTGATCTCTGTCGGGTGGCTTCAGCATGTCATGGATTGGAATCCAGGGGTTTGTTCCCTGGTTCACCAGGCAGTGACAGTACAAGAAAGTCTTTGTTCGTGCAGGACAAGATTGGGGCCTTCACAGTTGAATAGCTTGTAAGATCTTTGAATGTCCACTTGGGTGAGGTACCAAGTCTTCTGGCACTTGTGGAGGGAAGGGAGGCTCTCAATGGCCTTTCCAATTTGATTCTTGTTTGTCAAGTTGACGACTAGTTATAGCAACCAACTAAGTCGGTGTTTAGAAAATTGAACGTGCTTCCACATCTTAACCAAGTGATCAATATAGCGAGGTTACCTGGAGCTGACATGTACATAAAATCAGTTCACACTGATGCTTAACACTAAATGTCAATTTCCTCCTAGCAGTATTTCAAAATATATTTAATGTAAGCTACCTCCTGACCAATGTGTCCAACCGTTTAACACTAGTTGGATAAAGTTACCGTAATGATCGCTTGGAGGACATTTCTGGCCATTTTCCACCTTTGGCATTAGAATCCCTGTCACTTGAGATGCATTTATACAACACTGTGGTATATTGAGGCTGTGAGTGGTGACACTGAGTGCTACCTTTAACACTGCAGATACTGACTCGGAGGAGGATGAGGAGGATGATGATGAGGAGGAGATGGTAAAAGATGACTGGCCAATGCAGTCCACCTCAAGCGCGTCCGAGCGATCGGGCTCCAAACAGAAGGCGTCCGCGCTCTATGCCTCAATATCAAAGAGAAACAAGGTTTCGCTGGTAACAGCGCAGACCAAGAGACTAGTGTCTGCTGCAGGGACTATCAGACCTAAACGAGCAACCGAGAAGACAAAACTCAAGCACTTTGCCTTGCTGCTGGAGGAGGCTGAGGCTGGATCTTCCTTTAGCGACAGTTCGGACGACTCATTCAACCAAGGTTAATAAGACATAACCCTCAGGTGTTGAGAGAAAGTGATGGGCATAAACTATTGGCCATCTTGAATTTTGGCAGTGTAGCCTGCCCTTTTTTGAAACTGTGATATTTTTAAGTATTGGCTCTTTTGGAGCCTACATTTGGCTAATTCCTAATTTTTTCCACCATCCCTCCCATTCCATCCCCTCCCCCTTGGGATTTGGCCTCTTGAGAGGCTACAATGAACCACTGGAATTGTAAATTGAATCCGTTTCTGTGTGTGTGTGTTTTGCCCAATGTTTGTACTGCAATTTGGTGCTGAAGCTTGATTAAACATGTTCATTTCTTTTTTAACTAAACAAGCGTGCTTTGTCTCTCTTGCTTTGCATCTGCTTTTTAATTTGTTTTCAATAAGTAGTCTAATAGACTAAAGGGCATTTCACTTCATTCCCACTTTGCAATAGGACGTTCTATTATTCAGATATCCCTTTCATACTAAACCCTTTGTGGGAAATGTAGCTGTTTCTAATTCTGTTCTCGTTTTTGAAGCTTGCTGATATGGCCTCCTCTAGTTTCTAATGCTTTCCCAAATTTCCCTGATAATCACATTATCACTTTGTTTAGTTGGCTTGTTTTCTGTTTTGTTAGTTCAGACGCCTTCAAAAACAAAACCCCAAAAGTCAGTGCTGAACTCATTATTGTCCTATGGAATTCATTTGGCATTTTGTAGACTGAACAAGACTGACAAGCCATAATGTACTGAATGAAATACTCAGTTGTTCCCTCTTGGACAATAATTTAATAGGCTAGGGAGTCTCCCTCAGAAGTATTGTTGGTTTTGGACATTGGCTCAAACTCAGCAAAGGCCTTTGAGATATATCAATCAGGAAAATTGCCGTGTGAAGTTTTAAGCTTGATTTTGTAGATTTTAAATTTTGTTGCATTACTTTTACTAACTGTTGGAAAGAAAAGCATATCTTTCCAATAGAACTTCCCAAGTGCAAATTGTCTTGAATACAGATTGTTTTTTGAAAAAAACGGTTACTTTTTTGAGTGAGCGTAAAATTACCTGAAATTTTCCTTGAGTTGATTTTTCAGAAGGAAGCTCTTTCTATGTAGCAAGGAGAGTCCCAGTAGAGCTTTTGTTTGCGATGGTGGGCAATTTTGTGTTAACATTGTTGCTGCAAACAACTGCATTTAAATAGAGCTGGACTTGCATTAGGACTAGGTGGAAACATAACAGCAAGTGAAACCGCATAAAACTGCCATCTTCAGGGTAGTATTTGCCTCTAAATGGTCCAGGTCAAGGATATTGACTAGAACGTGGCTGAGCGAAAGGTTAGGGTTTATTTATTTTCCGCTTTGGGTATCTCCATGTGACCAAACAATCCATCCTTAACCATAACTGTGGAGCAGTGCAGTGCACAAAAGGCTGCACTGCAACCTCAAGCAACCTCAAACCAGGAAGAATCCAATTTTTTTTGGTAACCAATGCTCCTTTAAGTGAGAAAGTCAAACCCAAACCATTGTTCATCCACGTTTTTTTAAAAAAAATCATCATCTTAGATGATATAGCTTCTCAGAGCTTAAGCCTTTCCAGTATTCTCGTTGGAATGTTGTTTTTTGAGGAGAGGTATAAAGTACTTTTGGGTCTTGCTGGGAGAATGATTGCCAGCCTCAGATAATCCAGTGGCCTGCCCTCCATTCCTGTGTGCATTCTGCAGTCAAACGTGCACCAAAACCCATTAAAACCTGGTTGCCTTAATGAGTTTTGCAACAACCGACAAAATCAATAGCCTCTGAACAATCATGCTCTATTCTTACCTCAGTGAAAAATTGATCACTTTGGTTTCTCTGTGGCCTGAAGATATCCACATGCCCCAGGGAGGAAAGCTCCCCACTTTATGTGGAAGACTTTATCTCTGTGGATATACGCAGGCCCACGAGTGTAGATGATCGTGGGTTTGGGTTTCTTTAACGTGCTCTGCTGAATTCACATGGTATTTTCGCAGGACAGGATATGAGCAAGAAAGGAGTTGGCCACTGGATTGTCATAAGATTAGCCCTGATACAGAGAGAGAGAGAGAGAGAGAGAGAGAGAAGTTAATTTCATGGAGTTTAGTCATATTGTCTACAAAGGCTAGACAAAGGGTCCAATTTTGCACTACTGATAAAGAAAGGCAAGATGTGTTATTAATTTGCCTTAAGGGATATTTGGGTAATAGGGTTCTTTATGGCTGTCCCCTAATGTCCGATACTAAAACAATAACCTGGCTTTTCTAGATTGCTCGCTTTCTCCTGGCAGCTGCTTGACACCCCTTCACTGACCCCCACCCATGACGCTTGAATGTCTCTCAGTCTCTTGCATTGCTCTCATGCGGCTCAGAAGCAAAGTGATTGGCTGGGAGTAGGGCAGACACCTACAGTGGGTCACTTGTCATGACAGCAGAACCTTGACCCGTTGTCACATAGGTAGGAGCACCACTTTTCTTCATGTGAATCCTTGACCTACAAACAAATTCCTTACCAATTTTTCTCTTTTTTTTTTATTTGTTCAGCAAAAGTCGTATTGCTAACTCAGACAAAAGTTTTTTTCCCCCTCCCCCACTCCCTCTCCCCCCTTCCTCCCTCCCCCTTTCCATCTTTTATGTTGTTACCCATCATGGTAGTTGAAATGCAAGTAATACATTGTAATCTTACAGAGTATATATAATATATATATATCAATTTACTCGCTCCCCATCACCTCCAAAAAAATATTGACCCAAAACTGTTCAAAGTCTGCCTACACACAGCCTGCTTTGTCGCCGTAGGCTTTCTTGCTTTTACCAATAAACTGCGAGTGCTAAAACCGCTCACATCCAATCTTTCTTTGCTTAACAATACTGACGCTGCTGTATATATCCTTAAATAACTCAGATGCTGCTAACAATCGGCTTTCTCGCCTTGCGTTTTCTTTTAACTAATCTTTGCACTGTTTCAGTGGATTTAAACTGCCTCTCTATGTTGTTTGAATGTTTCAAATCAAAATACGCCAAATATTGTTGTTGAAAGTAAAATATGGTAGAAAATGATACAATCTTTTTATACAATGCCAAAAAAATCTTTTTTTTGCCTGTATTTTTGCTAATCACTATTTGAATGTAAATCCTGTTTGTAAATTTAATCCTTGCACTAAGGGTGCCTATTGACTGGATACCAACAGTCAGAGGATTAAATAGGATTAGCAATATGGAAATGTCTTTACACACTGTTATTTTAGAGCTTCTGTTATTGAATATATATATGTGTGTGTGTATGTGTGTACTGCTTTACTGACTTGCTGTGTAATTGGCAGCAATGCGGGTTGGAAGAGTGGAGAATGTAGAATTTACCGTGGGGATGTGGCCTAGGATGTAGGAGAAAGAGCCATGATCTCTCTCACTGCTGATATTGCCTTCTCTTGATCCATTTAACTCGTTCAATACTGAACATCCTGTTTTTTCAGTAGCGTTCAAAACCTGTCCCTCCCAGCCTCTTAAATAGAATCATTTTTCTGTCGCAAATGCAAAACGGACTCTTCACTGTGACCAGTGAAACCCTCCATGCTTTGTCTCAGTAGACACACCGATTTAATGTCCTTTTTTGTCATTTGGCTCCCAAGTAAATTCAACCCCAGCCTTCCGAAATCTCTAATAATAATAATACTAAACTCTGCATTTGATATAGCGCCTTATCACGTCGTTGACACATTCAAAAACACCTCACAGAATATACTGTAAAGTGAATTGACTGTATACTTTGTGGGCGAAACTCATTGGCGATGGAAAGTATTAATTCATGAATGAATGGGTTGTGTGAAGGGGGTGGGTTGAGGGGAAGATAGGAAAGGGATTCATTCTCCAGTACTTTCAACCCGCACACTATGGGCACAGAGAGTTGTTCTTACCATTGACTTGCTAATTTTCTCAACGTAGATTCCACCTCTGAGGAAGAGGACTACAGGGACGATTGCAGCGATGGTCTGTCCTCTCCCGGGCTGGACGAGAGTGGGCTGGGTCTCCTCGCCAGGTTTGCTGCCAGCGCAATGCCCAGCCCCATCATGACCCCCCCTGTGTCCGTGGTTCAACTGGAGGCCAAACAGAAAGCCAAGAAGAAGGAAGAAAGACAGAGCTTGATGGGTGAGTCCAATCTTTCTCCTTGTGTGAACCATGTAACATATCAAGGGCTCTGGGACGCTATCCCGCGTGAGGAGCTCTGTACAAATGCTAGTTGTTATTGTTATGAATATTCAGTCACCACACTTTACAGTGAGTCCTGCCAAGGCTTTGGAGTTGTCACTCCTGATGTGAAAGATACTATATCAAATGGATTTACGGAACATCTGACCACAAGGACTGTTTGTGGGGTACTGCCGTGTTTTGCCCCCCAAAATATACTGTCAATCCACTTCACAGTATATCCTGTGAAGCACTTTGAGACGTCTCAATAGTGTCAGATGACAGGATTATTATTATTTTAGCCAAACCCAAACTTGTCCTTAACCCTCCGCCCCACCCCACACTCTCAGTTACATACTCACTCTTACACGTACACTTACACACATGCACACTAACTTGCACACTCGCTTGCACATTCACTCACAAACGCAAACACCTTTACAAACACAATCACGCATGTACACACTCACCCTGCCGAGCAGGGCCACCGTGGCTGACGACAATTAATATTAATTATTGTAATTAACTAGTTCACCGCAGCCTTATTTTCTTGACATCTCACCTAAACCCCAGGTTATACACACGTGGCCCATTCAGTGTTTTATTCCCTTCCTTTTCTTTCACTTTATTAAATTAATTTATCTCCAGGTACTGAATTTGAATACACGGACTCTGAGAGCGACATCAAAATCAAACAGAAGCTGCCGGGTTTCCTCAGGACCAAGAAATCCATACAGGAGCAGAGTGGGATCATTCCCAGCAGCTGCCCCGAGCAGCAGAGCCCAGACAAGCTGCGGGGGGTGGAGAAGGGGGAGAAGGGTAAGAGAGTCCGCAAGCTGAAGGAGAAATTCCCCAAGGAGTTCACCTTTGACTTTGGGCCCGAAGTGAGCGACGATGACCTGTGGAACCGGAGGAGAAGCGAGAGGATATTCCTGAATGATGTGAGCACGTCCGCCATGCTCTCGCCCAGCGCTCCCCTCTCCTCCCCCCCACCTGTCAAGGCCAGCCGCTGTGTGAAGACCCCAACCCTCAGCCCGAAGAAGGAGCTTAACAAGGTGAAAGACAAGGTATTGCGCTCTCTCTCTCTCTCTCTCTCCTCTCTCTCTCACGCGCGCTCTCTCTTGTATAGGGATACTCGGGAAGTAAAGCTCAAACTCTGCTTATTTCATCATCTATTTCTTTCCCTTCATCCCAGAAGAAGAAAGGGAAGGATTTGCATCCCTGTTTACCTTCGCCCCAGTTAGCGATTGGACTTCCTGAGGCCACAGTCAGCCTGACCTGCAGCTCAAGCCCTTGCAAGAAGAACAAAGTCAAAGTAAAACCAAAGGATGGGAAGAAAGAGGTAACGATCTGTACCTCAAATACTGTAAAGGGAGTGAGGAAGCTTAATACTGACAACTGTAGCCTGTCCGCAATGGAGGAATGTCTAATAATGTATCTAATATTGGCTTTGATCCCCTTGAAGGTCAAAACAGTTTGTAAAAGTACTGGCGATTCATGTGGAAAAGACTCAACGTCTAAAATTGCCGTGACACCCATCTTATATCCATCATCAGGATTCCCAAATAAAACCTCACCTTACAAAATTGGTCATTAATTTCACGGCTGTTTGTGTGGGACGTCGCTGTGCGCAATTGTGCTGCCTGTTTGCGATGGGTGGTCCGTATTTGCCAATGACTGTGTAAGAAGCCCTGAAGACTTTTCTGTTGTATTGAGCTGGTGCCACGTTCAGGAAGTTGGGGGAGTCTCAGACGTTTCTCCCATTGACCTGAACCTGAATGGTTTCCCTGGTGTCTCCAGCAGGCTCGCTCCAAGGGTGGCGCTGTCAGTAAACTGATGGAGAGCATGGCAGCCGATGAGGACTTTGAGCAGAATCAAGACAGCAGCTTCTCTGAAGATGAGAACTTGCCGCTAAGCAAGCTTACAGAGAGGCCTTCAACACCAGGTATGTTGAGCCCTGGTGCTACTCTAACCTGCATAATGTACCATCCTGTAAACATCAAGCCCATAGCAACATAGGAATTGCAGGGCAAAAAAAGACCAAAGTCCATCTAGTTCGCCTTCTACATCCTCGTAATCGCAGGTTACAATAACCATGATGTTGATAGTCATTCGTTCTGGATGGGTTAGGTATGGTGTGGTGAACCGTAACCCAAAACTTTGATGGTTGACTCTATGGATTAATCTACCATCAAAGCTTTGGGAACGTTAGATCCAAAGTTGTCAGGTTTTTCCAAGCGATACTGCCCTTAGGTTTCCCAGTGCCACGCTTCAGATTCGAGGAGTGACAAAAACAGCACCGAATCCTCCTCCTCCCTCCCCCCAAAGAAACACACAAGGCTCAGCAAAAGAGAAGATTGCTATTTTTAGTTTTCGGGGTAAAATAGTAAAATAGACCCCGATTGATATGTCAGAGTGATGACATTGGGGGTGAAGCTCGTTGGGGTGAATTTCGCCCTCTGGTGGTAATTGGGCGGTTGTCTTCTTCCCTCAGCTCCTCGCTCTTGTGTGATCGACAAGGACGAGCTGAAGGATGGACTACGGGTCCTGATCCCGATGGATGACAAACTGCTCTACGCTGGATACGTGAAAACCGTCCATTCCTCCGATATGTAAGTCAGGCCAAAGCTATTGGTTTTCAAAACCCATAGATTGAAATTCATCTTTCAACAGTTTAGTGGTTTTGGTGCCTGAAAGACGATTAACTGTGTAAATCACTGTTTGTGGGTCAATAGATTCTGAAAGTAGAACCTAAGCATATAAGAGATCCAGATCACTGAGACCTGTACTTGAGAATTAATGGGATTAAAGGGTTATGGGGGAAAAATGAGGAAGTGGGATTAAAAGATCTTCTGTGATCTAATATACTAGTGGAACAGGCTCGATGGGCTGAATGGTCTCTCCTGTCCGTGTGTCATGGTGAATGTGGATGACATTGGATCATTGGTGGATGTTAAGGATCCCGTGGCGCAATATGAAAAGGGAAGGGAGTTTCTATCTCCCAGTGTCCTGGCCAACAATCCAATTCCCACAGACAGAGTCATTCATTTACTTGATGGCTGTTTGTGAGACGTTGTCCTCATCTCGAGAGCATCTCTCTGCTCCACTCCACCTCAGTACAAATCAGTTGAATTATTGAGATCACGAGAGCAATACTGGGTGTGGTTACATCACTCCCATCTTCAATAGTTTCAGTTTATACTAAGGTAACATCAGGGTCAGCCACCTTGTGATCATGTGTCCCAATGTGCACTGATCTCACTCTACACAATGAGCACTTTCTTTTATTGAACTGAAAAAAAATCCCAATTAATATAGTTCATCTTCCTTTTTAATCATATTGATTAGCCTTTCAACCTCCCGCAGTGGGGGTAGTGGGGGGTTGCAACAAAGAGCCATTCACCACCTCCAAACCAAAGACCAAGAACTTTCAGGAGGAGAGATAAAAAGATTCCCTTTGCTGCTGACATGTTCCTTAATAACTGAAGCCTATTTCCCCATCTGATAAAACCAAACGTTTCACAAATGTAAAGACTGAAACTTTACATTAAAACTTTGCATTAAAACAGTGCCTTTCACATAGGAAACGGATGGGTGGGCTGTCACAAAGTTGCTTCACGTACACTGGGTGCCAGTCCGAGCAGGGTGGGGTGTTAGGAAGGCATAGTCAAAGAGGTTTTAAAAGCAGGGTTGCGAGGTGGAGGGATTGAGGAGGGATCTAGGCAGATGGTTCCAGAGAACAGGGGCAAAGTGTTCTGAAAGTTTGCCCACTGATTTCATCTCACTTGCTCACAAGCAATAGTTTGAGAAAGCCCTCCCATAAACTGGTAACAAGAGAGCATAACGCTGTTACCAAGATCATCTTCAATAAATTCCGCTCCCTTTTCAGATACACAGGGAGAGCTCAGGAGAATGTTGTTTACACACACAAAGTTGATTAGGAAGGAATAGCCACCTGTAAGGGTTCAAACAGAATCTGTAAAAGCTTTCAAAGGGGAATTAAACGAATATTTGCAGAAGGAAAATATACAAAGGGTGTGAGGGGAAAGAGCAGGCGTGTGGGACGTGATGAATGCCTCTTTCAGACAGCAAGGGAGTGGGACAAAATTGACGGCTCCTTCGGACAGGAAGGGAATGTGACTTAATGGATGGCTTGCTCAGAGAGCAAGGAAACTGGTGTAAAAGGATGGAATAGACTGAATGGCCTTCTTCTGTGCTGTGGAGTTGCGTGTGAATACCTTGACTTTTCGGATGAAGCCACTTTACAGTATATCCTGTGAAGCACTTCAAGACAACCTGACAACATGATAAGGAGACATACCAAATGTGAGGATGATGATTATTATTAGTAGTATTATTATTCTTGTGCTCAAGCAGCTGATTTTCTTTCCCTGTTAGATACCGTGTGGTGGTGGAGGGGGAGAGAGGGAACCGTCCTCACATCTACTCTTTGGAACAACTCCTTCAGGAAGCGGTGAGAGCACTCGATCGACACTGTGTATGTTTAGCGGACAGAGTGGCACTCCCTCTGTAAAGTCCTGCTTCACTCAGATTGTACAATACCTGCCTTGGTGCAGGTTCCATCGGGTTACATTTTCTCTATTTATGTTGTGTTTCAGAGTGTCCAGAATTTGGCAAATTTGGCAAACCTGGAACCAGTTTGCTGTAAATTTATTTTAAGAAACCGCAGAAAAACACCTTCAAGTTTAAGACAATTTTGCCACGTTCTGAGTACTCAGAAATAGAATGCACATTAGCATTCGTACAGTGCTTTTCACGCCAGGAGGTGTTTCAAATCGCTGGGTAATACATAATGCTACAAATACACAAATGCTCCGTGTTTCCCCATATAATACTTTCAACACCCTGTTATTTTATAGACGGCAAAGTGCTGAATGTAGAGACAAATCCAGGTTCAGCCTGACCAACGAGGATTAGAATGATCAATGGTTCCCTGATTGACCAATGTGAACCGCGTGCAATAAATGCTCAGTAATAAACTAAAGGGTAAATTGAAGGAATCAAGTCATAACCACGGAGGCATTGGCAACCTCTGAGACTGTTCTGTAGATTGGAGGTTAAGCAGCAGCCTTGGCTTTACGGCCTGTCTAACGTACATTTGCAATGTTAAACTCCAGGCACTTGAACAGTCCACGGGCTGCATTTTGGGGTGAGTGTGTTTTAGTTCTTGTCAGCGCGACTGTGTGGCACGTCTGGTGGTAACACATTATTCCTCTCCAGAGAGCCATCCAGAGACGCAGCATCTCCACCACTGCCGGGCAGATCTCTCTGTCTGACAGCCATGATATAGGGTTTAGTGACTGTGACCTTGTTTTCCACCCACCCCCCCACCTGGTCCACTCTCTCCCCACCCCACTCACTCACAACGTAAGGAGGCTTTTCAATATCATCAACAACAACAACAACAAGATTCCATTTATTGAGCGCCTTTCACGTCGGGAGGACGTCCCAAGGCGCTGTACAGTTGGGTCAGGACCCGAGCATTGGGGAAATGGTCAAGGTGAGGGGAGGGAAGGGAGAGAGCGAGGAGGGGGTAGAGAGTCGAGAAGGGAGCTGAAGGCACGGTCAAAGAGAAAGGTCTTGAGACCGGCCTTGAAGGAGGAAAGGGAGGAAGCGGCGAAGGCACTGGAGGATAGAGTTCCAGAGCCTCGGGGCTGAGAGGCTGAAGGCCCGGCCACCGATGGTCGGGCGGTTGGGGCGGGGGATGTGGAGCAGACCGGAGCCAGAGGAACGGAGGGTACGAGCAGGTAGGTAGGGGGATAGTAGGTCGGAGAGGTAGGAGGGAGCGAGGCCGTGAATGGCCTTGTAGGTGAGGATGAGGATCCTGAATTCGAAAATAAGAAAGATGCAGATATTGGTGGATTAACTGGGTTGCAGTGATAATTTTGGCCCAAGATTTATAAACAGCTAAGACTATTGAGCTTCTGTAACCCAAAGGTAATACAGTAGTTTGCAGCTCGGATTTTTGAGAAAGAAACCTTTCTTCCAGTAATTTCAGTCCACAAGAGCTGCCTTGTGACATCCACCAAGGCACCAATTCCCCACCACATCTCAAAGGCCATTATCCACTGTTTTTACCCATTAGTTAGTCAAAGGCACTAATTAGACACAACATATCTGACATGTGACTGGCCTTCCCGCTACTGCTGCAGAAGAAAACAATATATATGGCCACCGGGGAAAAAAACAATTCCGCTAGTAAAATACCCCTTGTAGCCTTTGATTTTCTTTTTTTTTGTGGAAACATAAAGGCACCGGCGATCAGTTTTAACGCCGGAGTTAGCTGGCTGGAGTAATGAGGAAATATGGCCCTTTTCAGCGCTGGAGGAGAAATGAAGCCGGTTTATTTGATGCATTCTTTACATTCCTTGTTTCTAGTTCATTCATGCTATTGTGCAGTGACTTTCTTTGCAATTTCTGTTCCTCCTCCTTTGCCCCTTATTTCAGCCCCAGTGTGAAAAGTGATAGGTTTGAAGATTTAAACCCCGGCCACAAATGGCTTCCCCATAAACAGCAGCAACAACTTGTATTTTAAAGCGTAGGGCAATGTCTCAAAGTGCTTTACAGAGAAAGTACTGGAATCCGAGCCAGGAGTAGGGTGGGTGGTGGAAGGGATTGTGAATGCAGGAGATGGTTGAAGAGAGAGATTTTCAAGAGACTTTTAGAGACAGATAGAGAAAGGTGAGGAGAAGCGGGGAGATTTTATGGAGGAAGTTCCAGAGGGTAGGAGCTGAACATCGCTGTGTTTGAAACAGGAAATGATCCGTGTCGCTTTCTCCAACTCCCGCTGCTTTTTGCTCCAAATTCTCACCATTCAGAGGGTGTTAAAGGAGAGCTGAGGCTAAAAGTTGGAAAAACACAAAATCCTTCATTTTCAACGGAGAGGTTGGCCTCAGGGGGGAACCAGCTTCTCCTGCGATCAGCAGTTTTGCTTTTGTCAGGATCGGGTGATGTGAAATTCAAATCCGGCTCGGTCTTAATTTCATTCTGGGTCCTTTGTGTTGTTGTTGCAGATTATTGATGTTAAACCTCCCTCGGTGAGGTTCCTGCCTGAAGGTACCAGAATAGCTGCCTACTGGAGTCAACAGTATCGCTGCCTGTACCCGGGAGCTGTTGTCACAGGTAACTTGTCACTTCTCATTTGTAACCAAGAAAGGAATGATGAGCTCAGATGTGGGACTGGCTCGGGATCATGTTGAGCTGTCGTTAGTGACAAATGCCCAACCGAGTGATATCAGCCCAGCCCCTGCCCCCAGGTGCAATGAAAGCTAATGCTGATGTATTTGTGGGGACTTAGAGCCAGGTTGTTTGCCTTGATAGCAACAGGGGCTCTCACGTTGTGTTAAAAGCTGGATAAAACTGAGGACGGCAGGAGGATATCTAAGTTGACTTAACGGTTTTATGCTCTGGGGAGATTCTTCTTTTAGTTGCAAAATATTGTTAGATGAGAAATTCACGGATGGGAATGGCAACTTGGAAGTGTCTTGACATTTGGACAAGTCGTGCTTCACAGTGCTCAGTCCGACAGGCCTCATAATAAATAGTTATAATAATCCTTGCATTTGATACAGTGCCTTATCATGTCGTCGAGACGTCTCAAAGCGCTTCACAGGATATGCTGTAAAGTGAATTGACTGTATATTTTGTGGACAAAATCAGAATAATCAGAATAACAGGGGTTTTCAATAAAATTGCCCTTTTCTGTGCCTTCTTGTTTCTTCTCTTCTGGCGCTGTTGTTTGACCCACATTATTGGGAGGATAAATCATGGTGCTGAAACCTCTCCTCTCACAGAGAGGCCAAAAAATGCAATAACGTCAGCCGAGAGAGAGAGAGAGAGAGAGAGACAACAAGGGCTCCCAAACTTGTAACTTTCTAAGCGCTCCAGTCATTCACTCTCACAACAGATTGATGGCTTTGCTCTTGAATGTGATACAGAATTTATCACACAGTGTGGTAGCATTGCGATAACTACTGTTTCCTAATTACTGCCATAAATCTCCTCGACGCTGCTAATACCCAGGTAGGTGGCTTGCAGCTGGCTTCTGTGCTTCACACCAAAAAGAACCTTTGCTGCGTCCCAGGCAATAAACTATTGCACCGCTGTGACGTGATGTATTTGGCTGAAAGTGGACCGGGAAGAGGGTAAACATGTTAGGGGATTATAAGAGTCCCAGAAATGTACTGTTCCTTCTTATCTGAGGGTAACTTTGGACTTTGGAGTCTGGTGGGGGGTATGACTTTGGGTCAAATGAGCACAGCCATGATTGGTGTTCATTTTATTTTGGTAAATGCAATAACCTAGAGGAAAAATGTGTTGTTTTGGGGTTCGTGGATCTCGTCCACAATGGAAAGAGGCTGAAATAAGATCCTCGGATTGTGAGTTGGGAGAGACATTTACCCCACCTTGCCCTTCTCTCTCTTTCTCTCTCTCTCTGTACAAACCTAAATGAGAATAGAGAAAACCTGGGTTTGCAGCCCCTCCTTCAGCCTCACTCCTAACCCTCGGCCCTTTCCCCTCTCCTGGTCCTTTAGGAAGTCCTGATCCCGATGAAGATGAAGATCTGATAACAGTGGAGTTTGATGATGGTGACACCGGGAGAATCCCTCTTTCCCACATCCGCCTCCTGCCTCCAGACTACAAGATTCAATGTACGTCAAAAAGCTATTTGCTTTTTCTTAATATAAGACATTTTATAAAATTGTAATATTTTGTAATATTTTCATCCTACACGGAAGCTGCTGGATATAAGTGCAAGTTGTTATTGTTGTTGTTGGGAGAACAACAGTCGCAGCAGCGACCAGTGGATCTTTTCCTTGTTTCCGCTCAGTAACTCTTTGCCATAATGAATAGCACAGAAGTTAAAAGTGGCTGTTTGTCAGTGTCTGATACAGAGACTGGCTTCCTCTCTTCAGGTGCAGAGCCATCGCCCGCTCTCCTCGTCCCCAACACCAAGAGACGAAGCAGAAAGTCCAGCAAAGACACAGTGGACGGCAAAGACACCTCCTCGATTCAGGCCCCAGAGAGCGTCGCAGCTAAAGCCAAGGGCCGCGGGAGAAAAGCATCTGCCAAGAGCAAAACGGGTATGTCAGAAACCACGTTGATTCACCTCATGCTAAACCTGCGTCAGGACTTTGAGGTTACAGGGCTGGACTGTCACCCCAGCGCAGGCCTGGAGCAGGGCCTCATTGTCACAGTTGCCATCCTTTGACTGAGAGGTTTAATCCGAGATCCCGACCGCCTGTTCCTTGAGGTGGATGTTCACAAGTCCCTGGCATTGTCTGAAAAGGGAAGAGACCTTGCACCTCCACACAGCTGTCTGTGGGGAAAACGCTGTGTGCAAATTGGCTGCTACGTTTACCTACAAATACACAGTTACAGTGATCACCTGTGAGGGGCTTTGAAACATTCCGACATTCCAGGCGCTACGTCAACTCCCAGGGTTATTACTGGACATGAGGTGGTGCTAAACATCGTGGAATTATGGCAGGGGTAACGGGTCAGGGACGGAATCTGTCCTCTCTTCCAATAACCCTTGTGTGGAAATTGAGGTCCGTTTAACGTCCCAGTGTCTGTGCATTTTGACAAAAATTTTGATGACTTTAAAGGAGAATTAGTTTGGACAGTAGGTCATGTGATAAAAGTGAATAAATTGTCGCCTTATCTTGGATTTTATCCTAGGATTTTAATCCTGGATCAGTCAGGTTCCCTCGCTTGCTCCAGAATCTAAAATTGTCTGTTTGTCTGTGACAAACAATGTGGAGGGGGGAGTGGAAATATAAATGTACTATGTTTTATTATTATGGGCATTTTCCCCTCAAAGCGCTTTGAGACGTCTCGAAGACGTGATCAGGCCCTGTATCAAATGCAAAGGTTATTATTTTTATTATTTATTTAATTGTTTGCAAACTTGGTTCCCAGGAAACGAAGCCGTGGCAGAAGATGGTGCCGAGGTGGTGGGAGGGTCTGAGATCCAGATCAGCGAAGACCCCCAGAGCAAAGCAGGGCTGAAGACCAGGAAGAACGTGCAGAAGCCGAACTCCGTCGGAGCTTCGTGCCAGACGCTGAGTGAGAAGAGGAAGAAGATGGCCAAAGCCAAGATGGTCCCCAAGTCGAGTGCCCAGCTGCAGACCGTGTACCCGCCTCCCATCTTTGGCAATGCTCTCGGTGCGGAGACCTACAGTGACCCGGTGGGAGCGCTGGGCTCGTTCACTGTGGCAGAGAGCTCCGGGGTAAAGGCCAAGGTGAGGAAGGGGAAGAAAGCGGAAGAGTCGGTAGATTTTGGGAACGTGGGCAAAGGTCCGAGGAAGCAACTGGAAGCCGAACTCCTCGTCAAGTTAGATCACGAGGGCGTCATGTCGCCCAAGACCAAAAAGACCAAAGCGATGATGTTGGAGGATCAGAACCTCACGGGCAAAATGGACAATAAGATTCTGCTGAACCGGCCGTACACGGCCACGCCTGTGGGCGGCGACGTGAAGCAGAGACTCTCAAAGACCAAGGCGGCCAAAAAAGAGCCACAGAAGCAAAACTCTGCTTACCCCCCGGGGGGCTATGGTGGTGGGGCTGGTGATCTGATCAAATGCAAAGCCAAGGAGAAGACAGAGGCTGAGAGCAGTGGGAGCAGCAGCAGCAGCCCCGAGTCTGAGGGTGAGGACGAGGGAGATAGGAACCTGCGAGAAGTTCGAGCACACAGCACCTCCACCAGCTCCAGAGCCTCCTCGCCCATATCTTCATCGTCTCAGTCTTCGTCTTCAAGCTCCTCATCTTCCTCCTCCTCCTCTTCCTCCTCATCGTCCACCTCCACCACCGACGAGGACTCGTCCTGCAGCTCGGACGAGGAATCCGCTTACCCGGCTCCTTCTGCGCCGGCCGTGACCTCTCCCACCCCTCACCCCGAGCCCCTGCACCCCAAGCAGAGCCAGTCGGCCCCCTATCCCCCAGCCCAGGGGCAGAAACAGAAGCCGCAGTCGGGCAATGGCAAAGCCAAGCCCAAGAAGCGAGAGGGGATCCACCTGCCCACGACCAAGGAGCTGGCGAAACGGCAGAGGCTGCCGTCGGTGGAGAACAGGCCCAAGATCGCAGCCTTTCTCCCTGCCCGACAGCTTTGGAAGTGGTTTGGGAAGCCCACTCAGGTGAGTGCCGGAGACCTCAGTGCAGAGAGATGTGCAATCTCCCTCCACAACCTGAGAGCTTGTCTTTCTGTCTGCGTCAAACAGGTTTGTCACATTGATTGACTAATTAACTGCACAAGAGCGGCCTTGCTCAGGGTTCAGCAAACCACAAAGCATTTTTGTTTTCAGTCTGACTCGCACGGAAAACCATCACCGTTGCTTAAGAACATCCAAACCAAGCTGAGAATTCCATGCATCCCACCTACACATGGAAATCCCAGAGATAGATTGCTGGAATGGAATGCGCTCTCTCTCTCTCTCTCTCTGGAGGGATGCATCCTGCTTACCTAATTCTGGAAAGTGTTAAGCGCAGGTTGGCAAGAGCCAGTGCTTGGGGGGAGCCCAGAGTGTGCATTGGGGAAACTGCTGGAGCCTAACCAGCTAAAACCACGCAGCTTGGCCATTGAGAGCGCTGTCTGGCAAACTGTCCTGCCGCTTGTCCAGCTCGGACCGCCTTACCTGTTAACATTCTTTTACTTAGAGGGTGACAATGGCTGGAATACTTCAATCAAAAGGGGGATGCTGGAATCATTTAAGATCATTTAATGTTGTGCTGGGAAGATGGCAGGGATGGGCGTTGAGGAATGCAGAGATTAAATAGAACAAAAAGCCTCTTAATTCAAACTACTCTTGAGATCTTGTGGTTGTTTTTTGAGGGTTGTCATTTGTCCTGTAATTATGTGGCGTAAATTCTGCGCAGAAGATGAATGCAAAAGAAAAACCCCAAGGAACCATGAATTAATGGTGGTGTTTCTTCCCGTACAGAGGAGAGGAATGAAGGGCAAAGCAAAGAAGCTCTTTTACAAAGCTATCGTGAGAGGCAAAGAGATCATCCGCATCGGAGACTGTGCCGTCTTCCTCTCTGCCGGCCGCCCCAACCTCCCCTACATCGGCAGGATTCAGAGCATGTGGGAATCCTGGGGGAGCAACATGGTGGTGAGAGTCAAGTGGTTCTACCATCCTGAGGAGACCAACCTGGGCAAGAAACTGAACGATGGGAAGGTGAGATTGACCACAATCCCCAACCTTTTCAACCTTCGACCTTTAACTTAGTAACACAGTCACAACACTTTACAGTATATTCAAGCAAAGTGCTTTGAGACGTCTCGAAGACGTGATAAAGTGATGTATCAAATGCAAAGATTATTATTATTATTCCTGAACAATAAGAATCACTACATGCAGGGCCTGTTTCTGATCCATCCTATTCACTGGGCTATGGACACTGGGGTTTAACAGGGGCATTTGTACGCAGCTTATGTAAAAGCAACTTGCTGCTGGTCAGCGAGCCCCTGCTTATTCCAAAGAACATCTCAAAGGATTGCAGTGGGAGTAATGGACACAGAGCAACAAGCAGGAGGGATTCCAGGGTGAGCAAAGGCACAGCCAAGGTGACAAGGTCAACAATGAGAGGGGTTCAGGAGCAGATGAGAGGTGATGGGGTTTGGAGTGAGGGGGGGTGGGGAGGGGAGGGGGGTGGTGAATACAAAGTTAAAGTTGGCAGCCATATACCTATGTGGTTATATCCATTATCAGTTGCCATTTATCTCGTAAGTGTAGCTTGTCGGCCATTAGCGGTACCTGTCAATCACTCTCCTTCTTTGCAATATTTGTATCAGCCGCTATATAGGGAGCCTTTAACCAACCGTAAATCCTGAGTGTGAGACAGAGGAGAGACGTCAGCCTTACTTTGCTGATTGTCTCGATCACTAACATCCAGAAGGTCAGGTAAACTTGGCTGGCGTCCTGGGCTGACACAGTTGGAGTCCTGGCGTGTGTGCAGGCACAGCAGTCTGGCCTGCCACTCACGTCTGAATTATTTACAAAGTACTAAGCCACTCTTAGATTTGACGGTGACATTTCTGTTTAAATGCCAGAAGCAGGATTGTACCTTCCCAGTCGGACAAAGGTGAAATTTATTACTTCTGTTCTGTTCTTCCGCAAAGCTGAACTTTGGGAGAGAAAAATCTGGGGAAAAATTCCACCCAGGTCTCAGGTTTACTCCGATTAATGCAGAGTTTTAGAGCAACCAGGATTTGGCAAATTGTTGAATTCAGTCTTAACTTCGAAGTCACTCCAAAGAAACTTGCAAGAAAATCGTCTTCGAAATTAAGGCTGTATTTACGAATTTGCCTCATATTATTTAACTCTTAATATCTGCCTGGGAGGGCACTGCAGTCATCATAATAATCATAATAATAATTAATAATAATAATTGTCAAAGTCCTGTAGCTCAGTGGTTAGAGCACTCTCTTTGTAAGCGAGAGACCTGAGTTCAATTCCCGGCAGAGGGCGAAACCTCGGGCAAGTTTCCTTACTCCACACAGAGCCTAATAATAATCCCTCCAAAACCAAAACAATAATAAATTGGTCATTTTCAATCTACGACTGTTTGTGGGACATTGCTGTGCACAATTGGCTGCCGCGTTCGCCCACAAATATACAGTCAATTCACTTTACAGTGTGTTCTGTGAAGCGCTTTGGGACGTCCTCCCGACGTGAAAAGCGCTATATCAAATGCAAGGATTATTATTATTATTATTAAGTCTCAATGCACTTCACAGAAATGCTTCCCACTGAGCCAGGGCTGACACAAGGCCAATAACCATGATGTAGAAACTACATACTTGTGGACTTGTGTGATGATGTAATCTGCATCTCCTTGTTACTTTGGATTGTGACTGAAAACAAATGTTATTTTCTCTCTTTCTCATCTCTCTCTCTCTCTCTCTCTGTCTTCCCCACTTAGCGCGCTTTGTACCAGTCTTCGCACATAGACGAAAACGACGTGCAGACCATCTCTCACAAGTGCCAGGTGGTCAACCTGGATCAGTACGAGCAAATGGTGAAAACCAAGAAGTACCAGGACAGCGAGGACCTGTATTACTTGGCAGGAACCTACGAGCCGACCACAGGCATGATCTTCAACTCCGATGGTGTCCCTGTCATCTGCTAGTCACAGCCCCAGACAGAGCCACGGCCTGGAATCCGAGCGTCCTGAAGACAGCCTTGGGGATTTCCCAACCAGCGCCACTGAGTTGGCTTTCTCTCATCTGGTCCATAGCCTTTTTTTCTTAAGAGCCAGAAGCCTTCAGTGACTGCCTCTCAACACTGGTGGAGCTGACAACTTCCCTTAAAGTGGGGCAACTGGGCGAAACGTTGGTATCACGCACTTACTTGAGATGAACGTCAAGAGGATTGGAGCCACAGCGCCCGAGGCTCTGGATGTCTGTGGTGGGTCTCACACACACACACACCCCACCCCCCCTCTTGGGGACACTGCCTTGTGGCTATGGGGGTCCCCAGGCCCAGCTTAGAGTTGGGTGGTCTCAGTTTCTCTTCAGACTGACCGACTGACGGAACCTCCACTGAGCTTCAAGCATGTTGGAAACACAAAAAGACAAAAGTTTTAGAAGAGATACTATATAATTGTATTTTTCTACAGCACAGTAATGCTTCCTTCCCCAGCCTCAATGTGTTGAGCTGGGGGGAATAGGGAAGCCCCTTTATGTACAGTATGTCAGAATAGTTACTAATATCAAATACATAACTATGGAGTCTTTTTTTTGTAAGAATGACTGTGAAAATATTATCTATGAAAGATAAGAGAGGGGTTTACGGCCCTATTTATAGCGCGTGAGAGAGAGCGAGAGAGAGATCAATGAACTCTTCCAGAGATGGAGAAATGTAAATTCACAGTGAAGTTCGAACAGTATTTTGCCAAAAGCAGCTACTTTAAGTGAGAGGACTGCTGTGGACAGAGAGCACTTAATTCACTGCCGAATGCCTTGTGTAGGAGAGGTGATCACTGACAATCGAGAGGGAGAAGAAGGACGCAGTTCTCACGTTGTGTTATGTATGTACAAAGTTACTTGTGCCGTTGTACAGACAGTGGTGGATAACCTTTGATACTTTGGCTAACGTCCACATTAGTACCAAATGCAGAGCTTTCATACACGTGGCCTCTTTAATTTCTAGGGAGGTTGTGATGGGGGCGGGGTGGTGAGGGGAAGGAGTCTGTAGCAGTGAATACAACAACGATAACAACTTGCACTTATATATACCCTGGACTTGTGCAGAGCCCAACCCATTGTGAGCTTGGAAAACATGATTGTTGTTTTACTTTACCACCTTCGCAATGCAAATTTAGATTATTGCCACTGAAGACCTTTATCTTCGGCTAAATTAATATTCGGAAACCATCCGCAAAGCAGCATCAACAGATATACAACGAACCTGACAGATAGTACAGTCACCAAAATAGTTTCAGCAATCCAGAGAAGTCAAGAGACCATTTTCGCAAAAGTCGTCTTTGACGACCTATCAAAACATGTCAACGCAACTGACCGGTTTTGAAGCTAGATTTACAGTCACAGTTTGTTCTCCCAAAACTCAATGTCAGGAATTTATTGCTATATGTGTCAGGCTCCCTTATCGTGTTACACATGGCCTCTCAGCCCCCCTCCCCCAGCCCCTCGCCCTTCTCCATACGTGCTCTGTGGTTAATGGGTTCCCAACGTTGACTTGACCTGGATAAAGGGCAAAATGTGTGTGAGACTCTGCACTTTCCACCCGTTGTAAAGGAAAAGTCAAACCCACATCAATGTTAGCCTGAGCATCTACAAGATGAGAGGCTAGTGGGCGTTTTCAGTCTGTGTGTGTGTGTGTGAGTTTGGAACAACTCCCCCCCACGCACCCCTTCCTCAGAGCTCAGCCCAGCACTTGCACAGACGCCATCTCGCACCGTAACATTAACCTCCAGGTTCCCGATGGGCTGTAAAGACGCGTTCAATCATAAAGCAAAGACTTGAGTCATCATCATTGCTACCAACAGCCATTCACAGCATTGCAAGCAATGATTGCAACACTCTCACCAGCATAAACCATATTTTTTATATATACTGTATATTATATATGTGTGTGTGGGGGGTGAATCAGAGTTTCACACCCGTGGTGACATTTTGTGAATTCGACACAAGTTAAATAGAGACCGAGGCATATTTCAGAGGCCCTGAATTTCAAAGTCATTTTCTTTCTCGTGTAAATTTCTTTTTACGAAAGCGTTAAAACAAAACAGACTGAAAGTTGAGACTGAATTCGACAATTGGCAAATCGCTTTGAAATGCTGAGGCAATAAAGTAAATCTAAACCCAGGTGGAATGTCTCCTCCTGCAGCCCCTCCTCCTCACCCCCCCACCCCATGTTCCCCCTCACCCACTTTTATTTCCCGACACAACACGTGAGGGAAGGGGGTGCAGGAGGAGAAATCCCTTGTACACACAGTAACAAGGAACGTATTTCGCTGGCAGAAACCTTCACCGCCCTCGATCCCCACCTGTCACCAACAGCTTTCATCACTTTTTGTTTTTATTTTATATATAATCTGTCGGGGAGTCACCCACCCTCAGCCTCTGGTGGAAACAGAACGCGGGGGCTTTGCTGTGCGTTGCTGAGCAAGCTGACACAGCGCATTGTGGGCCTGTGAGGAGGTGATGACAGTAACTCACACTGCACCAGATCAGGATCCACAAGTCCCTCATATAGACCGTTGCCTTCACTTCACTCCTGTGGGAAGTTAATGTTAATCCAAGTTTAATGTTGGGGTTCTCGGCACTTATACATTCACGTTGCGGTCAGGATGTGAACAGTGTGTAAAAGCTCTTAGCCTTCGTTCTGAATGGCAAAATATGAAGTTGGCTATTTGACATGACACCTTCCCTTTCCCCCCCCCGCCCCCCACCCCCACACACACACGCTAACATTTAAAGAACCACAGTTCAGAGGCGAGTATTCAGGCTGCAAATCTTCTACAGATCTATGTCAGTTGCACATTGGGGCCATGCATGTTACCAGGAAGGTGAAATCAGGAAGGGCAATGGAAGGGTTGCTCTGGAAAGAACCGGCACAGACACGATGGCCCCAATGGCCACCTTCTGTGCTGTAAATTCCTGAGGTTCTGAATCAATAGCAACCAAAAATATCATTGGATTCATCCAGCTATTCCTGAAATGCAATGGTTTGGCTCTGTAAACACCCAGCTCCTTTTGTATTGTCCAATACTGTACTGCCGGTTAATTGAGGGTTTTATATTGGGGGAAAAGCCTGTGTTTTTGATAAGAAAATAGTTTCGGTTACGCTTGTTCTGAATCCCTCTAGTCATGAACGCAACACATTGGCTCATTGTATTTATATGGCTGTAAATATCCATTGCAACGACATGTATGACACAACTCATTACCCCTGCCTCGATCATCCCTCTACTTCCACGCACACAGACATGCACACACACACACACACAAAAATACACACACACACACACACCCTCCCACTCCCTCCCAGGAAAAAAACGGACGGAAATCTCTTCAGTTGTTATAAAGTGCAATACTGCTGACTGACTGGATACTAATGTGTAGCTGCTAATGGAATAAAAAACACACACTAAAGATTTTTTTTGAGTTAAAAAAAACACAAAAGAGAAAAGAAAACAAATGGAGGACCGAGTGCGTGTGGCTGGTCCACCCTTAGGCACCCTATTTGTTGCCCCCAAAACGATCTTGAAAGTCACTGCGTTCCTGTTAACTGTACAAGAGATTCCAGCAAATCATCCCCGGGGGGGAGGGGAGGGGGTAAAAAAAATATTATTTTGGAAATTTAATAAAAAAACAAAGCATTTTTGTAAATGAGCTCTCGGGGGGGAGGTGGGGGGGGGGGTCTTTGTATAAACATTTAATCTCTCGTGTGTACGTACGGAAGGGGGGAAACACTGACCGTGTATAAAACTCACTTAATGTGGAACTTTTTATCGATACTTCAGAGTTTTACAAAGTGTTCCTTTTGAAGCATTTTAGTAACTCAGATTTTTATACTTTATTCATCAATAAACTGAATATAAAAGTACCTTGTGTGTGTGTGTGTGTGTGCGAGTGTGGTTGATCTGCTCGGAGCGCGATATGATATACAGTCAATTCACTTTACAGTATATTCTCTGAGCTGTGGGCAAGTCCTGGCAGCTGTCACACTGGATGTTAAAAGATTCAGGGTGAGACAGATGATGGCAAGGTGAAATGTTCGTGTCTGACAAGGTTATCAGCCTCGATGTCCCACCAGGAGCTGCTGAAACGTGTTGCAATCCCAATGCCAGATTGCGGTATCAGGCAGCCCTGGGACCCATCCCACACTGTGAGCCTGTGCCCTTACCCACATCTACTCAACTGCCTCTGTGACTGATCGATTGTACAGTAATGTACTCATTTTGTGTCGTTTGCTTCTGCTGTTTGGCTGTCGTATGTTTTTGGAGGGAATGGGGAGGGTCAGGAAGAGATTGTTTGCAGTGAAACAAGAGGCTGAAAAATAAGAATGAGAGAGTCAAATCAGAATATTTGTTGAAGTTAAAATAGTCCCAAAACTGGACCAAAAGTGAAAATTATGCTGAAAGTCTTGACGGCCACAAAGTCTTTGACATTTCTGGTTTTGTCACTTGGCTCAATGTGAAGGTCCTTTGTTTTAGTCCCTCACAACGTGACCAGGGGTTTGTGCTGTATTTCCACAGCACACAATATATACAGGGCTTGTTGGCTGGTACCTAGTGTGGAGCCTTAGCCTCACCACAACTTCAGAAGAGGAGAGAGAGGAGAACAAAGGAGGGGATTGTGATCCTGACATTTACAATTGCTGTCAAATACAGAGCACAGAAACTACCTCTGAACCTACTGCTGCGCATGATGTCAGGCGTTCCGATGAACAAATGCGTGCAGTCTGTCAGAGTCTATAAGGATCTACACAGGAGTTTAATGTCACGGTGATACAGTGACTCAGGTTTCAAATCTGGGTGAGTACATCAAATAAAGATGTTCTACTCCTAACGCAGGGCCTGCTCCACCACTGTTTAATATGGGGTTGCTGCGTGTGCACACACTGAATACATCTACACAGCCAAACGTGAATAGTTTGCTTCCAATCATCTCTCCCTCCCTCCATCCCTCCTGCCTTTTGCCGAGCTGCTTGGCCACCACCTCACCCGAGTGACTGCATACAATCAGTCAATGGATAACATTTCAAATGGGTAATTGGAGTTGAGGTACAGATCAGACACGATCTTAGAGCATGGCGGAACAGGCTCGAGGGGCTGAATGGCCTCCTCCTTTTCCTATGTTTCTATGATTGAAAAACCTCCAATACAATACAATTGGTCAGAACAACACAGGAGAACAAGAGAAGGTAGATGTAGAGTTGCGGGTGGCAACCTTAGGACAGATGATTCGAAATAATTTGACAAATAATTAACAACTGTTGCCCACAAAATACACAGTCACTACACTTTACAGTGTATGTCCTGAGAAGCACTTTGAGACGTCTCAATGACGTGATCAGGCGCTACATCAAATGGAAGGATTATTATCGTTATGTTTTTTGCGCGGTGCTGAGTGAGATTATTAAGGGGAATTAGCTGGGAAAGGTGACTGAGAAGCTGAACTGAAACCGAGGAAACTCAGCTGCTCACAGACATGTGCAGTGTCAGCCTCAGTGACTCTTCTCCCCAAACTATTCAGACAAAAAGAACAAACAAACAAACAAACAGGAAAACAATAATCTTACCATTATTGCTAACTCTTGGCAGCTTGGCTTTTTAAGAGGGAC